GCAAATTCATTGTTAGCTATGGGGCATTTTTTGGTCTAAATGTGGGCTGGTTGCTGAGCACCCAAAATGCAGATCCATGACTGTGTGGGGTGGGTGGCCATCAGAACTTTGAAATAGCACCTTTTGTGGGTCCTTCATAACTTCAAACGATCTCTAAACGATCAGTCGTAAATCAAGGACTACCTGTATATCAGACCTGTACAATTCTTCAAGGAGAAAGGGCCACATAGATAAATTAAAAATCCTTGTGGGCTGCAAAGAAATACTTGGAATGCCATTCAGCTGTTCCGTGGCTGTTAGAGCAGTGCAAACACAGGATCTGGGTGAAATGCTTAATAAGCATGTCTTTCATGGTGGCAGCCACTGTAAAGTTACTATTTGTTTAAAAAAAAAAATGGGCTGCAAAAGGTTGCTTGATGGACAGGATATTGTCTGTTATGCTGTATATTCTTGGAATCTAGCAGTCATGTGAAGGCAAAAAGGGATATGGTATTAGGAAGTTTTATACATTTAAAATGAATACTGCAATCTCATTTCAGAGTGGCACTAATCAAAAATCTGTGGTCATAAATAAGGTTGATTGACATTAGCAACGGTTTTTAGAAATTTGGTCTCTCAACAGAACTAGTGCATAAAAATCTTGCTAGTGTGTGGCATTCACTTGCTAGAACCCGTTCTAAACAACCTTGACATTTCCCTTGCTTACATTTATTTTCCTCTTATGTTGTACAAAGGGTAGTGTTATGAATTAAGTCAGTTTTCAAAAAAAAATTTGATCCTGTGGTCCCATTTGTGAGTAAATGAAAGATGAACCAGCTTGGATAATGAAAAATGTTTGCCTTTTCATTGCACTAAAATATATATATTTTAGTGCAAGGCTACATTTCAGATAACTAAAAACTAGGTTTCAGTTGCTTCCAGACTCTTTCATTTCCATATACACGCTGCAATATTGTACTGTATGAAATAAACAGGCTTTCTCAAAAAATAAGATCTTTCTTACATCTGCAGAAGAGGGATTGATTGGTGTATGAATTGATAAAATTTTATTTACTTTCAGTCTTCATACCTGCTTTTAGAAAATATCAGTTGCTTTTTCCTTTCATTTAAATACTTGTTTTAGTTGCTGAAATGTTTTGTTATATCAGTACTCTTTTTTAATGAATCTCTTCAACATTCAGGCTAGGATTCAGAATTAATTATTGCTTAATGACTAAGGCTTTTTCAAAGCTACACTGTCCATATGCTTGGAAATAAAATAGGTCCTGAATTTCTCTCTAAATCATATGTCTCTGCATTTGTTTGGCTTCTAAAAATGATTTAAGTACATACTGGTCAAGGTGGTGGCTCACTAGCAGTATAATAGAATATACTTCTTTTAGCAAGTTCAGGCAATGAAATGGCTTATAATGGTGGTAGTTTTTATAAGGATGCAATATATTTACTTCTTTTTCTATTGAATATAATAAGGAATTTTTTCGCCTATTTTTTCCTTAAGTCATAATCGTATAAAATACTATGTAATTCCATTGTAGTATCCTCCAGAGCAACTTGTTAATTATTCTAGCTTGTCCTAGAAATGTATTACAAACTGAGAATCTGTAGTTTACTTGGAGAACAAATTCCACCTGCCCGGAAGTCATCACAGATGCTCTGTGCATGCGCAGAAGATTCTGTGCATGTGTGGAAGTGCTGTGCATGAACAAAGCAAGCATGCGTGCACACACCCTCCTGGTTCTGAATCGGTAGTGAAGGTAAGAGGAACCCACTACTGGTCTCCTCCCTTAAATATTACCACCTGAGGGGACCTTGAAGGCACACCTTCTCAGTGGCTGCCCCACCAAGCCTTTGGAATAGCCTCCCACCTGAACTCTGAGCTATCTCTTAACCTTTTAGCTTTCCAGGGGGCTGTGAGGACCTGGCTCTTTGCTCAAGCATTGGGCTAGGATGAGGGTTAAGTGAGCTAGAAGGATGATTGGTCTGGCATGGAATATAGGTTGAAAAGGAAGGATGGTCTTGCTTTTAACTAAGTTTTTTAATGGATTGTTGTGAGCTACCTAGAACAAGGGTGTCAAACTGGCAGTCCATAGGCCGGATGCGTCATGTGCAGGCCACGCCCACCCCAGCTCCACAAAGGGATAAAACATCGTGATACGTCATGTGATGGCAATATGATGTCACAAGTTTGACACCCGTGACCTAGAGTAATCATATGAGATAGGCAGCAATAGGGAAATAAATGAATAAATAAACCATGATGATCTGCATAACTCAGTTGTAAAACATTTGACTATTAAAATATTTTAATTCCTGCTAAGATGGCGCTAAATGATGCCTTGAAATAAAAAATGGTTATGAATGTTGATGGGAAAGTATTAACCAGGAAGATGAGGCATAGAAATGATGCTATTACAAACTTCCTTTAAAAAACACCTTAAACAATCCTTTTCTTTAAAACCACTTTTCAGTAAATTCAACTCTGGTATTTAAGGGAATTGTTTTTGTTGGCTTCTGAGTAGAGACTTTCTTAAATGTGTTAAATCCTGAAAGAGTGAAAATGCATGTTTGGTTTTTACTATGCCAACCGCAAACTCAAAGTCAGTTTGACACTGGCAGTTTGACCTGTCACAATTGTTACATTTAGATAGAAGAAATGGACTATACATTGTAGAAAATGTCTGTTGTCTCTTGAGGATTTCTATATACCTCTCAGTTGTTTCATAGGTGCTTATAATCTTACAGTATAGTACTTATTTATTCTTTTTGGCAATGAGATGCCAAAACATGAGTTTATTTGGACTCAAAAAAGAAGTTTTAATTTTCCTGGACTGGAGTGAATAGATCTGAATAGAAGCTGTACAGAAACATTGCTTATATCTGTCAGATACATCAGATTTGACTGACCCTTGTACTTGAATTCTGTATAAATAAAATACTGTATAACAATACTTAGAAGCGTCCAGTATATATTATTGATAGTTCTCATGTACTTAAGCACATTAAAAATAACCACTAACCCTTTTAGCCAGGGTTTTGCAAGTTTGAAACAAAAAAATCTATATGCAAGTCGTTTTAAAACTCCCTTACTGTGGGTCAATCATCAGTTTTTATGGTTTTCCCCCCCCCCTGCAGTGAACCAGAAGCATCAATAAAAATGCCATTACTGAGTGTCAATTAACTCATAAAAGTTCATCTCCAGAATGCTGGTAAACTATTAGCTGAAGGATCTGAACCGGTTAGTTCAGCTTTAAGGCTGGTTAGGTATAGCTTAAGGGTATTGTTGGTCTACAGTAGTTTTTAGCTAGGGGTAAATGCTTCAGCCATTGGGATGGAAATATGGATCAGGAGGGAAGGGTTGAGATATGCCTCCCCAATTACAGGTAGTCCTCTCGACTTACAAACATTCATTTAGTGACTGTTCAAAATTACAACGGTGCTGAAAAAAATGATTTATGACTATTTTTCACACTTATGACCATTGCATCCCCCCTGATCACGGGATCAAATTTTGGATACTTCCCAACTGATTCATATTTAGGACGGTTGCAGTGTTCCAGGGTCATGTGATTCCCCTTTTGAAATCTTCAAGGCTTTAAAGCAAAGTCAGTGTGGAAGCCAGATTCACTTAACAGCCTTGCTACTAACTTAACAATTGTAGTGATTCATTTAAAGTTGTAAACTTCATTCAGTCCTTCAAAAAAAGATTCTATCTTAATTCTGGTAACTATATAGGTGTACACATACTATTTTCTTGGCAACAATATAGAAGTGAGTTGCTAATTTCTATTCTGTCATTTTACTTTCCAGTTTAGCTAATCTGAGGCCTATAAACAAAGACTTTCTCACTCATCCAGATGCCTTTCTTTATGGTTAGCAAATCATCAGTTCTTGTGACAAGAGTATCAAAATATTGTGGTTAGCATATTATACATTATGCTTTTATATTGTTTGAAGATGTAATACTTAGAAGATCACTGGTCAAACTTTCCATAGTTTTTCTGAGGATACACAGGTAGCCCTCAATTTAACAATCATTCATTTAGTGACCATTTGAGATTATAACTGGTCCTCACACTTTCAACTGTTATAGCATCCCCACGGTCACATCATCAAAATTCAGGTACTTTGCCACTGGCATATATTTACAGCATCCTGAAGTGATATGATCACCATTTAGTCATATGACTTCTGACAAGCAAACCCAATGGGGGAAGCTGAATTCGCTTACCAACAGTGTGATTCATTAACTGTAATGATTCACTTTACAGTTGTGGCAAAAGAGGTCATAAAATTGGACATAACTTGCTTAACAATCATCTTGCTTAGCAACAGAAATTCTGGTCCCAATAATTGTGAGTAGAGGACTACCAGTAATATAAAATTATATAAATTTAAGAAAGAGGCAAAATATGAAAATGACTCCTGGTCTTCCTGTATGAATCAACTATAACGATGAAAATATCTTTTCAATAAATCAAGTCAATGCTTCAGTAAAGCGTTTTCAAATTGTAGATTCGGGTTTACTGATGTATTTTAAGTAGGCTTGGGCAGGCAAGTAGGAGGACTATCCAAACTCACTCTGGGTTTTGCTCCTCAATTGCTTGTATAAAGGTGTAGTAGATAATTGGTTTGCAGCAAACTTTGTGAGTCTGTGCAATATATAGATTATCCATCCTAGCACCTATGGAATTATTAGTTTTATTCCTGGGGGGAAAAGCTTACATCGTTGTTTAGATTATGGTTTGAGAAGCACTGGTTTAGCAGCTGAATTATATCTTCTGTATATATAAATTAAAATCAGATACACCTTATTTATTCAGAATAACCAGGCCATATCTTCCATTCATCCACTGCTAGTTGGGAAAATTGTAATCAGTGGCTACTAATATATTTGAAGCCATTTCCTATTTTCAAATTCCTCCATTTTGTTTCCTGGTCATTGTGATTTCCTTTTCAAAGATATCTTTTTTCTTAATTTGTAACTTTTGTTTTAATGCCAGGTCCACTTTCCAGATACTGAAAGAGCAGAGTGGCTAAATAAGGTAAACTGACATTCTTATTGTTTAGAAGACTTTGTAAAAGCATGCAATGTTGCCTTTGTTACAAAATAGATTTCTTACTTGGTGTGCTTTTATTAAACTGTTTTTGATTTTCTAAAAGATCCAAGGTCTGTTTTGTCGGGCTTTTTGTACAAAATACAAAAAAGTTAATCTTTCTGAAATTATAGTTGTAATATGATGTTCGCTAGCTTTTATATGCTAATGGGATTTTAAAAGAAAAAAAGATTGTTCGATTATGTGGCATCCAATTGCTGTTAACCTTAATAACTACACCAATTTATTTATTTAAAAGGATAATTAGACAGGAAAAATATAAAATTAATAAAGAGGTATTTTGATTAAGGCAACTCAAGATTTGCAAAATAATATGTTAGCTTCAAGTCTGGGGTCACATACTGTTGTATAATAGAAAATGATATGGAAATAGAACATAACATGTCCTGTGCACTTGAATTCACTTAATTATTGGACTGCTTATTTTATTGTGATTGGATGTAAATGTAAATCAATATTCAGTTAAGAATTTTCCTCTAGTATAATTGTTTCCTCAAGCATAAAGCAGAGTAAAATATAGTGAAGTCCAGCTAGAGATTTAAAAATTACCTCAGCTGACAGAAGAGAATATGAAGAACATTTGGCAAATTTTGAGAATAACCTTTATTGAAATATTTACAGGCTTTTTTTAAACAATCCAGTGAGATAATCTGTCTATTACTATAGACACTCACTACAGTCACACTGAGATTACACAATCATACATTTTATCATTTATTAAATTTACATGCCATTCATCTCACTGTCAAATGAGTATATACAGTAAAACACTATATCAATGGTTCTCAACCTGTGGATCGGGACCCCTTTGGGGTCCAACGACCCTTTCACGGGTCGCCTAAGACCATCGGAAAACACATATTTTCAATGGTTTCAGGAATAATTTTATGGTTGGGGGTCACCACAACATGAGGAACTGTATTAAAGGGTCGTGGTATTAGGAAGGTTGAGAACCACTGCACTATATGGTAATGAAGTAGCATTAGGAGGCCACAAAAATTTAAGGGGCTGCTAAGTAAAATGATATAAATGGCTAACAATACAGAAATTCACATTTTTATTGAAATGGGGCTAATAGCATGATAATGGATTAACATTGAAAACTTAGTGGTCTCTTTTCCTTTTTCAGACAGTGAAACATATGTGGCCTTTCATTTGCCAATTTATCGAAAAGCTCTTCCGTGAAACAATAGAGCCTGCAGTGAAAGGAGCAAACAGCCATTTGAGTACTTTCAGTTTCACAAAAATTGATATAGGGCATCAGGTATGTTTTGGGGTTTTTTGCATTGGAAGCTAGTGTGAATCATCAGATATTATACTGAGGTCATGGCTTTGCTTTTATTTAACATTAAATAATCGTTGCACAGGGAAGCAGATTTGTTCCAAAAGCAATTGAAAAACAAAAATTTGGCACCCTGAAAAAAAAATGAAAATTCCCTGAGCGTGTTTCTTTGAATGGGTTTATCATTGATGGAAGAATATTTTTTTAGTTCCAAAGTCTTGTTTCAGATTATTTGTATTACAATTCAAGTTAGTGAATGCTACTGTTTACAGGAGTTCTGTATATGTAGTCCTCAGCTTACAACAAAAGTTTATTTAGTGACTGTTAGAAGTTACAGCAGCACTGAAAAAAGTGACTTATGACCATTTTTCACATTTAAAACCATTGCAGAATCCCCATGGTCACATGATCAAAATTAGGTCACTAGGCAACTGGCATGTATTTATGACACTTGCAGTGTCCCGGGGTCATGTGATAACCTTTTGCAACCTTCTGAGAAGCAAAGTCAACGGGGAAGCCAGATTCACTGAATAACAGTGTTTACTAACTTAACAACTGCAGGCAAGAACACTTAACAACTGTGGCAAGAAAGGTCATAAAAAGGGGTAAAACTTACTTAACAAACGTTTCACTTAGCAACAGAAATCTTGGGTCATAAGTGAGAACTACCTCACTTCATAGTCTCATAGGATTCATAGTCTTAGTATCACTTACACATATACACCAGTGTGTGTGTGCGCGGGCACACACACACATGCCTAAGAGAGAACCAGATTACATTGTCTCTCTTACCTTATATCTACATTAAGTATCTATCTTGGTTTGTTTTGAGTTTCAGTAAATTTTGCATAACTATTTGGGCTGGGTTGGGTGGGGTGGGGTGTAGTAGGTTGATATACTTCCTATCAAGCAGATACTGTATTGTATCAGTTGTTTGATTGCTATGGTGATAAAAGTAGTATTTATGCTGCAAAATGTAAACTTCTCATATTACAAGATTATTCAGGTTTTCGAACATCAATGCTTGCAGTCTAAATATATATACTGAATAAATGTTGCTCCATTCTCCTTTGGAAAATCTTGCTCAGAGGGCAGGCACATAATCACTAAAGCTTCTGCTAAGAGCAGATTTTGTTTGCTCAACTCAGCTCTGTTGATTTAAGAATCTGAAGCAATGGGTGCCTGGCTCTGCATATCATGGTGTCTTTGTGTATATGGGTGTGTGTATTTATCAATGGTGACTAGAAACTATGCACTTTTATTAAGAATAAGTTACAGGGATACATGTGCAGGATGGGATTGTTTTTACAGTTCACACTAATTTTCAAAAAATTCAGAGCTAGGCAAATTATTTCCATAGGTGCTTTCTGATCGAACCATGGAAGCTTAATGTTGCTATAGCATTTTCTAAATTCAAGTCATTCTCTTAGTATTAATGGTGAAAAGACTCAATTAGACTGCAAGCTTAGAACTAAGAATTTCTTTTTTCTCTGATTTTCTCTGAGGCTATTGTAGTGCTTGTCCAGTGAGCTGCCTTTTAAAATACATGTATTCTTTATAGTTCAGCATAATAATCCTTTCAATCTGACATTATCAGCTCTGTAAGCATCTAGATCTGTTTTTACATAATACAACATTTTAAATAAAGTGAAAGAGTTTTACATTTAAGCACCATTCTTACAGACCTATTGATCTATTAAATTGGAAATTTTTATTTCAGCCCATTAGGATTAATGGTGTGAAAGTGTATACTGAAAATGTGGATAAAAGGCAGATCATTTTGGATCTACAAATCAGGTAATCCTTTTAGCATGTAAGCAGATATTGTGTCTTAAATTCCTGAAAATGTGTTCTTCATTGCAAAAATGTTGCAGTGCTTGCTTCTCCGAGAAATCCCTTTTAGCTCGATATAAAAACAAAGAAACCCACTATGTGTTAATGGGACCATTATGTAACCCTAAGCATTGCTGCAGAAAAATTAAGCTAGCAAAAATGACATACCTCTGTTCTATAGTATGACAGCAGAATAAAACTTAGAAGGGATTTCCTGAAAAGCAGGATAACTTCTTATGTTGCATACCAATAATATGGGTGTCAGTTTCTATGTCTCCAGCTTTTTCATTAATAGCACTAATGAAAGCAATAACAAAAATATATTAATTGTGGGAATTCAGTCTAAGCTCATTTTTCTGTCATTGCTATAATAATCGGGAAAAAAAAACCAGATTTATTTTCAAATATCGCTTATTTCAGATGTCTACACACACACACAAAAAAAGGGAGAGAGAGAGATAAGATAGTATGTTTGGAAACTAGTTTTTTTCTTTCTATTAATTATGGACCTGAAAAAATTATTTACTCCATTTATAATTTCCTATAGTCTAGGCAATTTTTAGCAATTAATAATGAAAAAATAACATTTAAAGTAAATGATTATAGAAAGTCTAAGTTCCATTAAGTATCTATGAAGATTCTCAATCATCCAAGTCATGGTTATTCCAAAGATGCTTTTTCCAAAAGGCAACTGGACTCTCTTGGTTGAGTTCTATTAAATGGAAATCCCACATTTTAAAAATAAGTTTTAAAACGTAATTAGCAAATCTGAAAACAAATACTTAGTTTTTGTGCCCTTTTTTCTTTTGATTTTACCTACCTAAACTATTAAATGCCATGTAATTAAAAGTAAAGATGTTCTGTTTGTTTATTTATATTTCACATTTCTGGACTGCCCATCTCCCTCAAAGTGGGACTTGGGGCATGTATAATACAACATCAAAATATAAAATAGTATATAAAAATTAAGATGTTAACATTTTAGAATTAAAATTTTAATAGTTGTAAAATTATGAAAATTTAAAATTAGTTGACAAAGCCAAAGGGTGGGCTTACGTGGCACCAGCCAATCCCACAGCTGTGTGTTCCTTTGGGCACCTTATGCAAGGCCACAGGGCTATGTTTAACCTCTTTTCAGAAGGCCAGGAAAGTGAGGGGGGTCACTTCTGGGGTAAGGGAATTCCATGGGGGGTGGGGGGCAATGCCAAAAAAGGCAGTCTTCCATGTTATTGGAATTAGCTTTTGGAAACTTCTTCAAATTATAAACCACATGTTACTAACTTTGAAGGAGGAAGTCTATTGTGGCAAAATTATATGCAAGTAGCTCCTTTTATTAACTTTTATTAGAAGGTATAAACTTTCATGAATTACATTCAACAGATACATAAAGTGACTAGACTGATATAGAATAAAGATAGAAGTTGAAAGGAGGGGAAGATAGTTTAGTTATGCAGTTTGTATGTGAGTTGGATTAATAAGCATCTTATCAATTAATTGTTCTAATGCGTTAAAGACTATTGTGTTTGATGGCACCTTCTGAGATTGCCTAGTTCTCTCTCTCTCTCTCTCTCCCTCCCTCTCTCTCTCTCTCTCCCTCCCTCCCTTCCTCCCTCTCTCTCTCTCTCTCTCTCTCTCTCGTTATAGAGTCGTTTTCACAAGCAAGTGACTCTGGGCAGCCTTTTAAGGAAACTAAAATAATAAATATATAAAACTACTATCATTAACAAATATTAAAAAACATTAAGCATTAATATTCTTATATGAGTTCAATAATTTCTCACTCTGTCTTGGATTAAAGTTGCACTCTTTCTGAATAGATACTTTAGGGTCTGTTGTGGGTATTGAAATAGTCTAATATTATTTTGCCCTTGTTTTGAGCCTTGCTGAGTCCTGATATGTCCATTAATTGGTGGGCCTGGCTTTGTCCCATTTTTTCTGTGTGGAATCCAGAGGAGCATTGTGGGAGCTGGCATAATTATCACATTGGAGGAAAAGTGTGAAAACAGACCCCTAATTTTGTGTGTTATTTGTCAGGGAATGTGATAGTTCTGTTGGGGCAAAATAAATCTCTAGATTTCTTGCAGGTGTGGAGGTTTGTATTATTTGCTGCTAGACTTCTAGGTGTTCTGAACCATCTTCCGAAACATGACAAAACCCCCTGAAGTTAAATCAATGATTCCTTTATTAGGAGTGCCAGTAGCCCTGGCAAAAAGTTTCTCAGCTAACAAGTTTGTCCGATAGGGAGATGATTAGTTGTCTGCCACATCTATTCATCTCCGCCCGCTGCCTTTTATCCCCAGAGCTAGGGTGGGGCTTCGCTAGCAGCGGTGGCTCTTTTGTCCTAAGGATTGGCCCACAGATTTCCACTGCTCTCCTCTCCTCTGCCTTCTGCGCATCAGGCACTGGAGCCAGCTATTCCTCCTCTTTCTCATCAGCCACCTCCAGACCTGGGGGCTGTTGACTCTCCATCTGAGGGCTGACTTCTGGCCCAGGCTCCGCCTCTGTCTCTCTCTCTCTGACAGCTCCATTCCCTCTTCCCCCTCGAAGTTTCCAGGTTGCCTTGATGCTAATCTTGACTCCCATACCTTCTCCTCATGTGATTTGGATGCTGGAGGAGCCTTTGGTCGACAGGCCACAACACTAGGATGCTAAAAGCATGGTACTACAACACCATGTCATTTAAGAGTGATGCATGGTCTGATGAAAGAATAAATCTAATTTTAACTACTATAGCACTTCCCCATTTCATTCTTTTTTTGGCCAAGTGACTGTATCAGCTTTGCATTCTGAATGAGCAAATACTCTTGATGCTACTCATGAGGAAGACTTAAAGTTTAGTGGATAATGTAATTGTATTGTTCACTAATATTGAAAGTAAAGCTTTTTTGCTTCTCCCCATTTGCACATCCCTTTTGTATGGAAAACAATCACTTTGTAAATTGTGAGAATATTAATGAAATAAAAGACAAGCAGTAGGGCTAAGTATGTAACAGGTCTGTAGTCATGTCTTGGATCTGCAGATTGATTCAGCTGTAAATAGTTCACAGCCATTATGCACTCAGTGGATAAAGTGTTCTACTGCAGTCTGTGTCCAAATAGTAGATCATATTTCATGTAAGCTGTGTTGCACAGACTTAAGCCAATCCATATAGACCTGAAGGTCATTAATTAATTGGGTACAATCAGCTAGTCTTTTCCCTTTTTGTCTTGTTTCCTTGGTTAGATGTGTAACCTAAACTAGCACAGTATTAAATTAAAAGGAAAAAAAAGCAGGAAATAAAAAAAAATCATGTGCAGAAGAAAAAATAATAACAAAAATAAATGAATGCGCAGAGATGGATAGGCTCACAAAAGAGCTCCAAGATAAAGAGAACACTGACTTTTATTTAGTTTGGCAAAAATGGTACACATGGTTAGAAAGAAGGATAGGGCCAACAACATAGGACATTAGGAGAACATAACTCAAGAATTGTAGAAATAGATACATGAGATGAGCCGTAGGATTGTATAAATAAATGGTTAATATGTTTGTAGAAAGATACTGCTGAACTTCAATGAATATATTAAGGTATAAGCAAGTGAATTTGTAAATAGTATGATTAAGGAAAATTGGTTAAATGAACATTAATCACCGATGCGAAGGTTTTCTAGAAGTTAGTCGATTGACTCTTTGTTAATGTATAAGTGTTTACATGTATTTGTGTTTTATGTTTGTTTATGTTAATAAAAAAAAAAAATCATGTGCAATATACAGTGATGAGTCGTTTATAAGAAAGCTCAAAAAATAAAGGGAACACAAGCAGAAGAATCCGAGATCTGAATGAATGAAATAGCCTTATTAAATACTTTGTTCATTACATACAGTAGTTTTGTGTTCCCTTTAGTTGTTTGAGCAGTGTATAAACTACTGTATGTAAAGAACAAAGTATTTAATAAGGCTATTTCATTCATTCAGATCTCGGTTGTCTTCTGCTTGTGTTCTCTTTATTTTTTTAAGTAGTGTGGGTATGTATGTGTGTGTGTGTGCATGTGTGTGTGTGTATATATATATATATATTTGTTTTCTCAGGTTTTCGCGGGTGTTTGTATGTAGGTCTTTGATTATTCGGGTTTTCTCCCGCGTAAAATTGGAAGTGTCTTGGCAACAGACAGAATCAGCAAGATCCTCCACAAACACAACATCAAGACAGCATTCTGCACAAACCGAAAAATATCCACCATCCTAAGAAACCCCAAAGACAAAATCGAGTTAGAAAATCAAGAAATATATGAAATCCCATGCACCGCCTGCCCCACCACATACATCGGACAAACCAACAGAAGAATACGTTCACACATTGAAGAACACAAGAACTCAGTCAGAAAAGAGGAACCAACTTCTTCCCTGGTCCAACACCTTAAAGCCACAGGACATGAAATTGATTTTAAGAAGACCAGAACTATTGCCAAAACTGAACACTTTAACAACAGAATAATCAGAGAAGCCATCGAGATAGAAAAACGCCCACACAGCATGAATAAATGAGATGATACCTCCCGCCTACCAGCCATTTGGAAACCCGCCCTTATTGACAAACGAGTCCCTAACACAAAGAATGATACCAGACCCACACTCACGAAAACCACACAGGATGTCCCATCCACGTAAAAAGCAAACTCAAACCCACACCGATGATGAGGCACAACCACAAACCAGAAGCCAGACCACAGCTGCATCATTAGCTACTTTAAAACCCTCCAATCCATACATGAAGCAAACTGACACCCACCATGAAGATGTGGCATGACCACGAACGTGAAGCCAAACAACAGCAACGCAGCTCACCAGCTCAAATCCCCCTACCACTCAGACTAACCCGAGCACAACCAAGCCCCCAGCCAATCAGAGCACAGCCAAGCCCCCAACCAATCAGAACACACCTCCACCCAATCAGAACACAGCCAAGCTCCCACCCAATCAGTTCACACCCCCACTGGCAGTTAAAAGGAAGAAACAGCTGCGATCACACATTGCTCCTAGAAGCACGAAGCCGAAAACAACAGCCTGAAGATGACGAATGAGACTTCATCGAAACGTCGCCAAGACACTTCCAATTTTACATGGGAGAAAACCCGAATAACCAAAGACATATATATATGTGTGTATGTATGTATGTATGTATGTATGTGTATATGTATGTGTGTGTGTGTGTGTGTGTGTGTGTGTGTGTGTGTATTTCTCTTTAGCCAGGTTCTACCTACGTAAACCAAGATATTATGCAGCCCTAGTTCAGTGAAATCACAATTCACCACAAATCACACTTTGCTTGCACAAGCACGAAGCCGAAGACACCAGCCTGAAGATGACAAGTGAGACCTCGTCAAAACGTCGCCAAGATACTCTCAATCTTACATGGGAAAAGACCCGAATATGCCAAGACTTGCATACCTGTATCCGTGAAAATTTACGAAAACACACACACACACACACACACACACACACACACACACACACACACAACACACACATGTAGGTTATAGGTTGAGGTTTACTAAAACTTTCAGCACTAATTTGGTGATATTTATTTGTTAAATTCCCTATTTCATAACTGTCTATCTCTCTCAGAAAGGGTGATGTGCAATATAATCAATATATAATAATATATAAAATTGACATTGAACATTTTAACATTAAATAAATCAACATTTTTGCTATGATGGTGGTTGTATAACATATACAGGATATTTAAAGTTACATTTTAGCCAAGCCTCAGTGGGTTACAGTCTTGCTATAATTTAGAGAAAAACATGAATTCTTAAACTTTCGGTGTCCTGAAATTGTTTTTTAATAGCAATTTATTAATGGATTGTATGTATAGTACAACATTACAGTGTTTTCTTGTATTTTTTAGTTTTGTAGGAAACACTGAAATTGATTTGGAGATCAAGAGATACTTCTGTAGAGCTGGAGTGAAAAGTATACAGGTGAGTTTTTGTTTTTTTTTAATCCATTATACCTTGTTATAACTGAAATTGTATAGTTTTATTCTGTTTAACATTATTCAAGTTCAGATTTACTAAAAAAAACCTTCTGCATAATATATAATAGTTAAAGTAATCTTTAATTCACGGTTAGTGCTGTGTATGTATACATGAATGATCCGTTGGGGGTACACTGGTAAATTTTAAATTGTTTTTTAATTGGGTTACTGATTTTAATTTGTATTGTATTGTGATTGTATTGAAGTTGTCATTTTGTAAGTTGAGTCCCTAGGGAGAAAGGCGGCATATAAATCGCATAAATAAATAAATAAATGAATGTGTACGCCTGAGTCAACTTTTTACTCTGGTGACCTCATAGGCTGTGGGTTCTGGTATTTTCTTGGAAAGATTACAGAAGTAGTTTGCCATTACCTGCTTGCGAGGATTGAGAATGACTGATCCAAGGTCACCCAGGCTAGTTTTGTGTATAAGGCGGAATAGAAATCATGGTCTCCCAGTTTCTAGCCTGATGCCTTCAACTACTATACCAAACTGACTTAATGCTGTGATCATGGCTGTTTTCTTTTTTCTTTTAGATTCATGGCACAATGAGAGTTATATTAGAACCTCTGCTTGGTGATATACCCTTAATTGGAGCACTATCTTTATTTTTCCTTAGGAAACCAGTAAGTGGAAATCTCTATATTTTTTTTTTAAACCTTTTAAATGTTTTAAACCTCCAGGTGACCATAACGACCCACTAAAAGAACGCAAATGTCCAGCCGTCTGCAAGGAGTATAAATCCTTCCATTCCCCATCATCCAGTCAGACCTGAAGAAGCTTCTTGGATGAGAAGCAAAACGTCTTCAAAGAAAAACCAGAAAGTCCAGTTGTCTCTTGAAAAAAGCTTTAGAGAGAAGGGTTTCCAGAATGAGGGTTTAGAAGGCTGAGCTTAAATCCACAAAAAAGACCCTTCCATTGTTCTTTGGGGATTCAAGATGGTGTAACATGTAGTGCAGTACCATATTGACAGCATCATCTGCCGACCTATTTGCACTGCAGGCAATTTGTTAGGAGTCTAGCAGCAGATCCGTGATGGCTTTCAGCTGGGCCAGCACTAATCTTTCGAAGGTTTTCATAATTATGGATGACAGAACCTCTGGTCTGTAGTCATTCAACTCCTTGATGGAGGGTTTCTTGGGCAGAAGAGTGTTTGAAGGAAGAAGGAAGTTGGGGCCAGTTGATCAGACTCTTAAGCAAGAGGGAGTTACCCTGTCTGGCCCTGGTGCTTTTCCACCTTTTTGTTTGTGAAACAGACCTTGCACATCTTTATCTGAGATCACCTGGGCTACAGGGTCCAGAGGGATGGAGTCAGGCTTAAGAGACCTAGCAGTTGTTCATGTATCTGAGATGGAAAGAGTAGCGATAGTTGACAGTGGTCTCCTCTCACTTCTGCCAATTTCTGATTCTCCTTCCACGAGGGAGGGAGATCTGCTGTAGCCAGTGATAATATTGTAAGATTCTGAAGAACTGTTGATAATTGACAAGTACTTGGTTCCTCTTGCAATCATCAACTGTGGTATTGTGCCCAAAGCTAGAAATCTGGCTTGTATCTCACTTGATAATTTGTAATCTGGGATTTGTAAATTATTTTTGGTGTGTGCTTATTAGAGCACTGACAAGTTGGAGTCTATGCTTAAGGCAATGTATAGACATAAAATATAGATTAAAATGTTTACTCAGTAATCATACACCAGAATTCTGTTAAAATATATTTTAGACAATATCATACTGGGTAAGCTCATAAAGTGGCAAGGCAGTGTAATATCTGCAGACAGAATTTTTAAGAGCAGCCCCCATATTAATATTATAGTTTTCCAGGAACACAGCTTTTCAGTATAGTACCATTAAAATGAAACAAATGTTTATAATTTGCAATAAAATAATACAATAATCTAAAATACTTAATAGAATAGAATTCTTACATATCCTCCCTCTGGAGTTACAAGCAGACATTTTATTATAGCCGTTTTCTATCACTTGGATCGTCAGTGTCTACAGCAAGAGAGAAAAATCACTATTTTGTCCAGAGGGAGAAATGTTGGGTTAGTTGGCATCTAGTAATGTTTCTTCTCATATTTTCCAGGCCAAAGTAACATTTGGCAATAATTCAGTGCACTCTCTAGTCAGTGTCTGTTGCTGGCTGTGATGACTATATATGGTAGCACTGCCTGAATTAATAGTTCTGAACATACTTGTCTAATGAATTTGCTTATGTCTTCTGTGGTTCGTGAGCCAAAGTTTTTGACAGACATCTTTTGCCTTGTATTTCTTATTTAAAAAATCAGTCATTGTGGTAAACTAATAGAAGATAGTATGAATGTTAGATGCTTATTAAAATATCTTTAGCAAACACAAAGTGGTTTAGAAAACAAACACCACATTTTTGTTATAACTTTTTTTGCACTAAAGTTTCAAGCAAACTTCACATATATATGTTTTATTTAAACTAGTAGATTTTGACAATTCTATATTTAGTTCATACTGGTAAATAAACTTGCTTTTTGCAAACTGCAAATTCTCTTTCAAGCTTGGGCTAATTTGAAGGTATAATGAACAGGCCTTTATTGTAAAAAGAGTTTAAACTTTGCAAGTTATTGGTAAAACTTGTATAGATGCCAGTGGATTCACTGATTTTTCCAGTGGACCCACTGATATTCCCATTGGGACCTAACATACACTTTGCCTCCATCTGTTTACATTCAAAAAGCCCTTTTAATTAAAAATAAAAAAGCGAGCTGGCATGTCATAACGCAGAGTGCCAGCCATCAACCAATCTTTGTTGTCAACGCTGCCTCTGGGTTTGTGATGCATCTCATATTCTTAGTACATAAAAATGCTGAGTTGTTATACCATGTGCCTATGTGTGTTTATGTTTGTGTATGCTTATGTCTATTTATTGCAAGTATATCTGCCTTGCTCAGAACAAAGACAAGGATAAATGGGAAGTAGAGAATATCCCTTAGGAATGATTGTAACCATTTGTTCCTTAGTTCTTTTTAATTGGATGTATCTCCCATGATAGCTGTTACATTAATGGGAAGGTCCTTTCTGCAGCTATTTTGCAAGATTGTTCACAATATCTTCTCAAAATACTAAATAGGCCTACTAACTGAAAAAGGGTAAAGTCCTGATTTAGGCATAAATACCTCAAAAGACAGATTGAAGGCATCAAACTACATCTGGCCTGTATGATTTCAGATTACTAGTGGAATTGCATATAACTCTTTGTTTTAAGGCATATAAATATTTTCTGCACATCAAAAACTGGTCAATTAGCAGATTAGATTAAAACCTATCTCTTTAGTATGTAACTTTTTGTACTTGATCTGTGAGATACTGTATTTTCTGCATTAAATGTACGATCCAGATATTGGTTCTACAGTTAGTAGACTCTTTATGAAAAGAAGTCCACAGTGATACACACTTTTCCTAATTAACAAATACATACATGAGTCGACTGTTACCCATATAAATTTAAATTCTTCAGTTGGAGAAAGTCAATGAACTACAATTTAGATCACTGAAAAAAGTTCCTGTGTCTGGGAAAAAGGGAACATTTTTTTCCCTCTCTCCGTAACACTCTAATGGGGCACATTGCACATCTGCAACCTGGAAGTCAATTAAAATGTTGGCTTCTGAAAGGAAAAACTATGGACAAGTCAACACATGTTATTCAGAGAAAGATCTTAATAGGTAAACATAGAAATGCATTAAACTAATCAAGAGGCACATTGAGCACAGGCTGGGCACTTGGCAAGTGGCCTGCAGCGTCCTGCAGTTACATGACCACATTTTATGATGTTTTACTGCAAAAATGGCCCATAGGAAAAAAAAGGGTTTGTCATACAACCACCACATTTGCATTACAGCAGTCACAATTGCTTAACCACCACCTCAAAAAAGATCATAAAAATGTGTACGGTCATATGGTGATCTGCTTTATAACTATGACAACTTACAATAATGAGCAGGCTTCATTATGATTGTAAGTTGAGTACTGCCTGTCTGTCTATGATATATTTATCAAGATTTGTATATAAAACTGACCCTTGTGCGTCAGAAGTCAGTTATTAGCCATTTTGCTGTAAATTCTGGAGCATGATTTTCTGCATTACTATTGTATCACCAGGTGAATAAATTTGTTGTTCTAAAACAGGAGGTGCTTAGATCTGGCCTGCCGGGTTGCCCTGGAAACAGAAAAGGACCGGCCCGCGGTGCCTCTGTCAGTGAAAATGGAGCTTGCGAGGGCCACGGGTGACCCTCCCAAGCTCCATTTTTGCTGGCAAAGGGTTGCAGGAGGCTGTTGCAGGCAAAAACAGAACTTGGAGCCCATTTTCCCTGGCAGAGTGCTGCCACAAGTGACATTGAGCTGGCCACGCCTTCCCTGGCCATGCCCATCCCAGCCCCCCAAAGTCAAACACAACCCTCATGCAGCCCTCAATGAAATCAAGTTTGAAACCCCTGTTCTAAAACAATCTTCTCCAGCCTGCAGAAGGGATTGCATGGGGTACAGTTTCCATAATTCTTAGCATGGCCAAATCTAGTACTGCTTTGGTGACGTATGACCAGTTTTCACATTTAACAACCATTGCATCATCTCCATGGTCACATGATCAAAATTTGGGCACTTGGCAACTGGCATGTTCTTATAACAGTTGCACTGTCCTGGAGTCATGTAATCACCTTATGTGACATTCCCGGCTGACTTTCTGATAAGCAAAGTCAGTGGGGAAAGCCTTAACAACTACAATGATTGGCTTAAGAACTGTGGCAAAAAGGTTGTAAAATGGGGCAAAACTCACAGAAATGTTGCTAAGCAAGAACTATCTGTAGTTGTTTGAGTTTAGATGTATGTGAAGATTCCACTATGAAACAAATGTTGAATACATTGAATTTTTTAAAAATTCCTTCCTAAAAGAAATTTTATTTCATTGCTTTTAAATTATCATATTCTGGATAGTCATAAATTGAGATCCTGTGACTCAGTTTTGTTCTGGTAAAAACACGTACATTACTTTAAAGCTTTCTGATCTTTGACAATTTCCAAATATGTGAATGTTAAGTTTCACAATTCCTGCAATTCTATAATTTAAAGAATTATTTATTTATTTATTTATTACAAATAAATAAATAATAAATTCTGGAACTTGAATTTCAGGCTTCTTGAAGTTGCAAAGGCTGGAGATCACTTTCTAAGAATATTGTTTCTAAGCAAATCATTGGTACATAAAAAGTTAAAAATGCAAGGTTTTCTCAGTTTTAGAATTTTAGCTGACATTTTTCTGACCATCAGCATATCCTGCTTCTTAAGCTGTGGTTGCTCTAAGCAACATTTTAATATTATTTTTTATATCTTTCCAGCTTTTGGAAATTAACTGGACAGGACTGACCAATCTTCTGGATATTCCAGGACTCAAGTAAGCCGAAATTGAATGAATTTATTTTTATAGATATGTACAGCTTAGTATGCATATGTGTTCATCAGATTTTTGCAAAATGTTACATGCATGTCTTCCATCAGCGATCATTCAATGTTACGATGGTGCAGCAGCAGAACAAATGGTGATCATGACCAGTCCTCTGGCAGTCCCAAAATCCCTGCAGTCATGTGATCTGGACACTGGCCAATTGGCTTGCACTTATAGTGTTATTTTGTTATTGTTTGCAACCTTATCTGTCAGTTTCTGAAAGTCAGTAGGGGAAATGGCTATGCGTCCCTTACGCTCTCGTCACAATCTGGCATTCCAACTTCTGAGGGCTATTTAATGCTGTCCTGTGGTATCACTGGAAGAGTAGAAGTTGCGTTTGAGTTGGGAGTAAGGTTAATATCAACACTTGACACATGGTGGTCAGTTAGACGAGTATAGTATCTGATTTTAATCCAAAATATGCTTTCTCAAGAGGCAACTGGACTTTCTGTTTTTTTCTTTGAAGACATTTTGCTTCTCATCCAAGAAGCTTTTTCAGTTCTGAGCTGAAACGTCTTCAAAGAAAAACCAGAAAGTCCAGTTGCCTCTTGAAAAAGCACCTTTGGAACAATTATGACCTGGATGATCTCCATGGATTTTAACTTGGAACACAAATAAGAGCCTGCAGTTTGTAAAACGGTTAAATGGTGCAATAGGCACCTCAATTTACAACCACAATAGAGCCCAACATTTCTGTTATTAAGTGAAACATTTAAGTGAGTTTTGCCCCATCTTACGATTTTTCTTGCCACGGTTGTTAAGTGAACCACTGCAGTTGTTGACGTTAGTAATATGGTTGTTAAGTGAATCTGGTTTCCTCATCCACTTTGCTTATTAGAAGGTTGCAAAAGGGGTTCACATGATCCCAAGACAATGCAAACGTCATAACTATGAGTCAGTTGCCAAGGGTCTGAGTCAGTGGTGAAATCTAAAATTTGTTACTACTGGTTCTGTGGGGGTGGCTTGGTGGGTGGGTGGGTAATGTGACTGGGTGGGCGTGGCCAATTTTTTTTTAACTTTTAAAACCATTTTTTCTACAACCTCTTCAGCGAACAGGTTGTTAAAAAATGCTTTCAAAAGGCTCTGACGATCCCAGCTGATTTGCCTGATCGTCAGAGGATTTTTTTCTTTGAAATGCCTCTGCCGATCAGGCAACTCAGCTTGGATTGTCAGAGGCTTTTAAAAGAAAAAAAGCTTTGATGATCGCGCGGCTCAGCCGGGCATGAGGGTGGGGCAGGGATTTTTACTACCGGTTCTCCGAACCACCCGCCTCCATCGCTACCGGATCGGGCGATCTGGTCCGAACCAGGAGCATTTCACCCCTGGTCTGAGTTTTGATCAGGTGACTGTGGGGATGCTACAATGGTTATAAGTCACTTTTTTCCATTGTAACTTGGAATGATCAGTAAATAAACTGTTGTATGTTGAGGACTATTTGTATAGGATTGTGAATGGCATTTTTAATTTATTAAGTCATTTTACAAGCTGCAGACTAATGGATAGATTGGGTTTTGGTTTTAGACTGTTGAAAAAATATTTATTGGGGAGAGGTTTATATAATTATCAGTAACAAAATTAGATTTCTATACTGTTCAGTTTGTGGATGAATCAGCCTCTGCTGTCATCTTTAATATAGTAACATGCAGAAGAAAACAACATGTTTTTATGCATAAAAAGCTATTTTCATTCTAGCTGTCAAGTTCTAGATGGGTCATGCTTTCAAAGAAAGACAGTAAGTCATTCCAGCTTGCGTTGCAGTCAAATGATTTTTTAGAACTGAAGTGGAAAATATTTGAGATTAAGTGATGAAGCCATTCTATACAATTGATGTGTACATTTCCACATATCTTAACAAAATCAGCTGCATTTAGTATGTTGCAGCATGTTGCAGATATTTAATTAGGTTGAAATATTTCATCTTCATCTTCTGCTTTTATCTGACCATTGACAGTACACTAGTGAAAATTAAAAAAAACCCAGAAGTTAAGCTTCCTAAATAAATGTGTAGCAACAATTTAATTGCTAATTCTGATGGTATATTTATAGGGTTGTATTTTTGGTTGTAGTTGTAGTCATATGCATATATATAAGGTCAGTGATGAATTCCATACTTGTTTGTGAAAATGTTTTTCATGGTGACATATAGGTAGTCCTCAACTTACAATTTACAACTACTCGTTCAGTGACCATTTAAAGTTAGAGTGGCATTGAAAAAAAATGACATGAACGAGTCCTCACATTTATGACTGTCATAGCATCCCAAGAGTCACATGATCAAAATTCCGGTGCTTGGCTACCGGCATGTATTTATGATGGTTACAGCATCCAGAGACCATATGATCATCATTTGCAATGTTCCCCACCAGACTTTCCAAATATTAAAGTCAATCTAGATTTAGCTAAGGACACTTAACAGTTAGCATGATTCATTTAACCATGTCCAAAAAGGACATAAAATTAATGTGACTCTAACAAACAGCCTTGTTTAGCAATGGAAATTCTGGTCCCAATTGTGGTTATAAGTTGAGGACTACCCATACTGAATAGTAGTGAGATAGGACACACCCTTGACATGCCCTTATGCAGACTGGGAAACCCTCGGATAGTCGACTTTTGATGTGAATATTACAGGTTGAGGTATCATAAGTGTGCCGCAGGAACCATCTGATCTTACGTGTAATTCTCTCAGCAGCAGGTCCTTTCCACAGAGCACTATCTAAAAGATAAAAGTACTTTCCACTGATTGCTCACCAGCAGTCATAGATTTAAATGGAGTGCAAATTTAGGAAAGTACAAGAATTCAAAGGTTATGGCCTCATATTATGAGGTGGGTGGGGGTGGGGTGGGGAATGCCTTAACAGCTGAAGTGAAAGACCAAATCAGTACTGCCCCAGCAGCTTTTTTGTTCTGACCCAGCTCCCCAAACATGACAAACCCTCTGTAATCAGTCAACAATTCCTTTATTAGGAGCACCAGCAGCCCTGGCAAAAAGTCTCTCTCACAGCAGGCTAACAAGTCCTGTGGGGAGACGAATAATTGTCTACCACATCTATTCATCTCCACCCCGTCTTATATCCTTAGAGCTAGGGTAATGCTAGCAGCAGTAGTTCTTCCATCCCAAGGATCGGCCCACAGATTTCCACTGCTCTCCTCTCCTCCGCCTTCTGCACATCCACGCGTCAGGCACTGGACCCAGCTGTTCCTCCTCTTCCTCATCAGCCACTTCTAGACCTAGGGGCTGTTGATTCTCCATCTGAGGGCTGACAGGCAGCTCAGGCTCCGTTTCTGTCTCTCTCTGACAGCTCCATTCCCTCTTCCCCCTCAGAGCTCTCAGGTTGCCTTGATGCTGATCCTGACTCCCACGCCGCCTCATCATGTGATTTGGCTGCTGGAGGGGCCGGCAGCCGACAGGCCACAACATTTTGTTTAATCATCAGGTGCATAACATTACTGTATAAACTAAACCATGACCATTTTGTTCACTGATAGCACTATTGCTACTATATGAAGCTGAATCATGGACGCTTACATAGCCAGAAATCTAAAACCTGGAAACCTTCCAAATGCACTCTCTCTGTAGGATCCTTGGCATCACACTGATAGACTGAGCAAGAAATGAAACCATCAATCAGCAAAGCTGCAATCGGCCAACCGTAGGTGATGAAATCCAAAAACGTTGGCTGACATTATTTGATGCACCTTTAATAGAGATATAAGCATCTGCACAATTGTCTTCATAATTACATACTGGCCCTCTTCGTCACCCTTACAATAAAAAGTGTCCGCTGTGACCTCTTGCTTGGCCACTGGCCTCTTTTGAATTATCAGTGAGATGTAGCGTCCAAATCACCTGTTGATGATCTAGGAATGTTTGACTGAGTACAAATTGCACTGCTTCTTGTAGCTAGCTTAATCCGATAAATTGTGGCAGCTAGAAGTGGTATGTGTTAACCTAAAGTAAAGCATTTCCGGCTATGGGGGGATATAAAAATTTTAATTTATTAATTAAATTTAAATCACCCACAAGTAAGCTGGCTTCGTAGAGCTATCCTTCCTGATCCATCCAGAAATCTTTTACTTCAAAGGCAGATGGATCTGTAGTTTATATAAGAAAAATATCAAAATCGACAACTTTGTGTGTGTGTGTGTGAGATTAAGACAAAGCAGGCAGGCATTGACCACAATGAAGTTTAATTAGTTTTCATTGTTGACAGCTGCTCTGATGTGAGTACCAGATATTGTTTAAAATTTATCAGTATTTAATTTAGGAGTGGTTTGAAAGTAACTAAGGGCAGACTGCAGGCATGTTTTGAAATTAAACAAACTAGCTGCATTTCATGTAAACAACTTAAATCCCATGATACTTGCTGTTCTGTGAGCTGATCTGATACCAGTCAGATCAGAGCATTGTTTTCTTAAACCGGGATTTTGCTGTAAACATGTATCTTGCAAATCCAGGGGAGCTCCAGAAATAGAGTTGGATTTATGTTAATGAGAGCGCAGAATTGGCTATTTTCTTTCCTCTGTTCCCATCCCTGTTGTCAACAATCTCTCTTCTATATTATACCTTATGTACATCTGCACATAAACACCACATACTCTCTGCATTCCACTTCTTTGCAGCTAGCGTATTAGGTTGGATAGATACTGGAAGGCTTGTGTTTTTCCCAGCCCTTTTATATTGTTTTCCTTCCTGGCTTGATACAGGATAACAGAAGTCTGTGGATAGTATTTATGGGCAGGGAAGGAGATGACTTAGTCTTCATGTTTCATACCAATTCTATAAAAAGATATCCTAATTAGAATTAATGGATTGACTTCATTATTTCCTAATTTGTCATCTGGAGGCACTTCATTACAGTCTTATTTCTCTCCCCCGTGCCTTTCTCCCAAAAAGATGATAGGGAAAATATACATAGTTGCATGCCTATCTGTTAATATAATTTTATAATATTTGTTAAATATTTTATAGTATTTTCCACAATTAACTATGTCATATTTATTTTTAAGCACAATTTTTAATAGCATTTTAATGTCTGTTTTAATATTTTAATTATTTTTCATTTAGTTTTATAATGCGGAAACTGTCCAGAGTCATCCTGTAGGGGAGATGGGCAATATAGAAATGTAATAAATAAATAAATAAATTTTATTAAGGTTAAGGTTATGGCAGCCCAAATTTAATTTTGTAATTTATTTGATTTTGTAATATTTGCCATAATTAATTTAACTTCATAATATTTGTGTAAACAAGATGATGAAAGTCCTAAGGGAGCGGATTGATATGATTTCCAGCCAGGCAGACAATAAAGCAGTCAAACTGACAGCCTGTTTTATTTGCTGTTTTGCTTGGCCTTTAAAAACAAAACAATAGCTTTTATATGTGGTGAATATTAAACTAACACTGCTTCATCTATTTGCACTGTAAGAAACAAAAATGCAGAATAAGGAACCTTTTGAACTAATCAGTAGGCCTTCATATATTATGATGAAAGATGATGCAGGAAGGAAAAATAGGGTTTATACAGATATAATAAAGCCATCTGTCTTATTCTAAACTGCTGTTTCCATCTTGTGGTGATCAAAGGTATTGATGAAATTCACACATGCTTTGGGTTTACTTCCATTTTTGGATCATTTGTAAAAGCAAATCATCAACGTCAGCATCATTGCTTAAAGGGAATAGGGCTGTGCAAAAATTTCTTTCTCTCCTGAAAATGTTCTGCAAGAAAGGGAGATGGGTTGGACTGTTCTTTATCCATATGATTCAATTTAATAGGCTGGTTGTTTGCTGTTATTTTCCTTCCTAAATAATGGAGACAATCTGTAGCCTTTTTTATACAACATTGAATATCATATAAACTAAATCACAGAAGTCTGTAAAAGATGATGATAAATCATGGAAGTCAAGGACAGGATGTTTTAATATGTAGGCTTGTTGTAAAGTTTGTAAATTGTATAGCTGGTTTGTGAAATGGAAGATGAAAATGTATTGAGGAATGAATATATTGATGGTTTGATGTCCCAGACCCCCACCCCCCGCAAATAGAAATCAGATTGAGCAGAAGACTAAACTGAAGTAGAGAATTTCAACTTGTATGTTTATTTTCCTGCCCTCCTACGTATTAGAAGTGCAGCTTGCATGCAATTGTTTTGATAATGGCAGCATGTGTAATTAATGCTAACCTTAAAATAACTTCATTGATTTTTTTTCATTTAGTGGATTATCTGACACTATAATACTAGATATAATATCTAATTATCTAGTGCTTCCAAATCGAATCACTGTTCCTTTTGTCAGTGAAGTGCAGATTGCTCAGTTGCGGTTCCCCATACCAAAGGTAAGATTTTTTAACGTAATATTTTGACATAACAAAACGTTTGTTTATCAAAGTGTTTGCAGAACAATCTCTGACAATAATGGTTATAAAAGAGCTTAAAATCTAGATACTGAACAAAGAATACATTTCTAGCAGCTAGGTAACAATTCTTTGAATGTGGCTTTTAAGCTATTGTTGGACCATTAAATTTCAAAACAGCAGAAAGCCTCTTTTCTTTCTGCACATTGGGATATTGTCTGTACACCATGGGTTGTAACCAGTTGGGTGGATTCTTCCAGTTCATTTAAGAAATGCTAATCCCAGTGGTTCCCATCCATCCAGAGATTTCCATAGCAGCATGAAAGAAACTCTGGAGAAGTGACATATTTCTGAATGCCTGTAACATGTAAAGTATTTGGTTTTATTGGTCTCTGTAGTTGAGTTTTCAGATACATCTAGAAATTGTTGGGGTTTTCCCCCCGAATTCATTTCCTACTATTATTAAAATTGATATAGATGTATGTAAATAACATAAAATTAATGACAACTTATCTCTGTGACATTTTTTCTCCTTTATCCTAGTCTACAGCAATGTCCACAAGGCAAAGGCAGACACGGGGGCATCAGAAAAGTAAAAATGGAGATTACAATGTTGTGATTAAAATCCCACTCCCTTAGTGCATTTGCTGATGTCACACATGTGTAGAAAGAGTGGGGGAGAGCTTCAGTTCCACTGCTGTATCTTAGTGCTTTTCACACACAAACACAAACACACATACAGAGAGAGAGAGAGCTACTGTTGCTTACTGTACATCTTTATTAAAAGTGCAAAGATACAATTAGGAGGAAGTATGCCTTCATTTATTTTAGTTACTCACTACCTGCATAGGTTTAACAATTCATAGCTATGTCTAGTCTCCAAAATAATTTTTAAAAATCAATTTAATACTGCAATGACTAGTCTCCATAATAAAGAATTTAAAGAACCAATACAATTTCCAATCTAGAGAATTCAATAGGACATAAACATTCAGTTATGCTGATGATACCTTACTGCTGAATGATGTACAACTTTTCTTGCCTCTTCTCAGGGTGTACTAAGAATACACTTCCTTGAAGCTCAGGATCTTGAGGGAAAGGATACTTACTTAAAGGGACTCGTTAAGGGAAAGTCTGACCCTTATGGAATCATTCAAGTGGGAAATCAAATTTTCCAAAGCAAAGTTATCAAAGAAAATCTTAATCCAAAGTGGAATGAAGTTTATGAGGTATGAAACTACTGCCAGGTATTAGTTTTGAAAAATGTGTTTAAGCGTTTAGAACCTTTAAGACTGATATCATACAATTCTATTAGAAATATGTCGATCTTGAATGATTTTTTTTAACCATTGGAGAAAAATTGATGTTGCACTTTAGTAGAACAGTTCAGATAAAACATCAAACTATGTTTAGTATAAGAATGAGCCTTGGGGTTCGTATATGTTCTTCTTTCTCACCCTGTCTCTGATTTCCTCAACTGTGATTTACTAGCAAGTTGCAATTTCATATTAGATCTATATCATAAAAACTGTGGAAATGCCAGTAAATGAATGATTTGGAGTGAATACTATAGTAAATAATACTAGTCTGAGGCAAGAGAGACTCAGATTAAAGATCCTGCTTAGTCATGGACATTATTGGATGATTTTGGACTGAGATAGAATTACTAACCCAATCTACCTTTACAAGCTTTATAAAATAAAGATGAGGATTAAAATCCCATGTGTGCTATCCTGGGCTCACAGAGGAAAGAGGCTTTCTAAATTTTTAATTACATCGGAAAGAAAACATTGTATATTTGACAATGTAATTTGTTAATAATCTAAGTCAGTGGTCCCCAACCCCCGGTCCGCGGACCGGTGCCGGGCCGTGGAGTACCTGGCACCGGGCCGCGCAGCGGCCGGGGGACATGAACGCTGCAGCGCAAAGGCTCCTGGGCCGTGCGCAAAAGCTCCTGGGCCGTGCGCAATGGGCCGTGCGCAAAAGCTCCTGGGCCGTGCCCCCACCCCTGCGCGCGCTCAGCGGGCCGCGGCGATAAAAAGGTTGGGGACCACTGATCTAAGTCATACATTTAGACTGAATTGGCTATCTTGTTTGTTATATTTCCAGGCCTTAGTCTATGAACATCCAGGACAAGACTTGGAGATTGAACTCTTTGATGAAGATCCAGACAAGGATGACTTTCTAGGAAGGTAAGTATCAAGCCATTTGCATGCCTTTTTAAAAAAAAATTGAAATCCTATCCTGGAATCCTACTATCCAGATCAGTCCATAAATGAAAGAGTAAAGGTAAGCTCTAAGAGTCAGAAAGAAGCTAGCAGACACATATATATATATTTCCAATGTATTTCTATTATTACCTGGGTGTATGCAAAATTCTGTGCCGTCAAAAAGTTATTAATACTTTTAGTAGAAACATTTCTAAAAGATACCACATGAAAAGAAAGCAAAGCAATATTGATTGTAGTAGAAATAGTAATTCACAGCTCTAATTAATGCACAGTTTCATTTTCATTTTGAATATATAGTACATTTGGCCTTTACTACGTAAAGGAATAAACAATCACAAAACTGTTTATCCTTGCTTCTCTTCTCCCTCCTTCCCAACATCTTGTTCTGCTTCAAAGACCTAAAGTTTCTGCAGCAGATCCATCTTATTCACAATTCTTAAAACAAGATAAGCTTTATTTTGTACCTCAATCACATATCCTCCTTTTTGTTCAGAATTGCTTTTTCAGTTTTTTTCTAGTGTATTCACCATTTTGCTGCTACAAAATTCCAGCTTCAGGTTCTGTAGTTCAGATAATGGTCTTCTAATGCATTGCATTGTGTTTTTTTAGCTTGACGATAGACTTAATTGAAGTTGAAAAGGAACGTCACATAGATGAGGTAAATCTCTATTCAGCCTGGGGAGGACAGTGACAAGGAAGGTTCATACATTAAATCTGCAGTGCTTAATCATATATTGGATCTGGATTACAATTTCAGCAAAGGCTTTAGATTTCCTTGAATAGATTTTCTTAGTTTGATTATAGCATTTTGTGTTAACAAGTGAAATTGAAGACAAAAGCCATGGGAGTGGAATACAATCAGTCCTCGTCTTATGGCCATAAGGACCCTGTCCATCATGGTAATAAGACATGGCAATCATAAAAAGGGTCAGTCCTGTGACCACCTTGATTTTATTACCTTTTTGCAGTGGACATTAATCGAATCTGCTGCTGTTAAATGAATCCATGGTCATAGAACAAATAGCAGTAGTAGTAGCCCTTAGACTTATATACCGCTTCACAATGCTTTACAGCCCTCTCATAAGCGGTTTACAGAGTCATCATATTGCCCCCAACAATCTGCGTCCTCATTTTACCAACCTCAGAAGGCTGGAAGACTGAGTCAACCTTGAGCAGGGGTGTCAAACTGAAGGCCCGTGGGACAGATCTGGCCTGCAGGGTGTTTAATTCTGGCCCATGGGGCAGCCGTGGAAATGGCAAAGGACCGGCCCATAGTCCCTCTGCCAGTGAAAATGGAGCCCGCAGCCCTCCCAGGCCTCATTTTTGGCCTGAAGAACCTCCTGTAGCCTCCCCTGGACTCCATTTTTGCTGGCAGAGGGCTTCAGGAAACAGTCCAGGCCGAAAATGGGGCCTAGGGGGGAGCATGCCCCCCTCAGGCTCTGTTTTCACTGGCAGAGGGCTAGCAAAACAAATTAAAAGCAAAACAAAACAAAAGGAGAAACGTTTCCCCTTTTGCATTTGAGCATCAAGAAGGGACAGGAAAGGAGAAAGGGAAAGGGAAAGAGGAAGAGAAAGAGAAAGACAAAGAGGAAAGACAAAGAAAAAGAAGGAAAAATGGGAAGACAGCAATGAAGGAAAAAGAAGGAAAGAGGCAAAGGAGGAAGAAAGAATGAAGAGGAAAGGAAAGGAAGGAAGGAAGGAAGGAAAGAAGGAAGGAAGGAAGGAAGGAAAGTCCTGCCTTAGCATTTGGCCACCAGCAGACAGCAAGGCTCCTCTGGAGGACAAGGGTTTGGCACTCTCCCTGGTCTTGCCTTCCTTCACTGGAGACAATGGATCCAGCTCCTCCCAGGCCACCACAGGTGCCCCTGACACAAGTGATGTTGAGCTGGTCATACCCGCCCTGGTCACACACACACACCCCTCCCCAGTCAAATGCAACCTTGATGCACTCCTCAATGAAATCGAGTTTGACACCCCTGACCTTAAACCTGGTGGGAATCGAACTCCAGGCAGTGAACTGAATTAGCTTGCAATACTGCATTCTAATCACTGTGCCACCATGGAACCACAAATGGTGTGGTTAAGCAAACCAACAGTTTGCTATGGACATGATTTTGGCAAACACCAAAAATAAGGGCCAGTTTTTGGCAAAACAATCATAAAATGTGGTCATATGATTGCAGGGTGCTGCAAACGTTTATAAAAGTTCCTATTAAATGTGTTTTGAGATGTTCTAAGCTAAATATTCAGATGCTTAATTCTAAAAAGTCATTGCATGTATTTTATTATCAAATAATTTTATTATAGTTTTCTGGGTGAAATGCAGGAATCAGTATAATTGTTGCCTATTCGATAAAATGTTTTATTCTGTCAGCTACAATGCCTTTAGCTGTTTTCATATGAACTGTCCTTAGTTGGCTTCGCCTAGGAATTTGTATGCAATGTTGCTAAATTTTGCAGCAAATGGATTTGGTTCTTACTATACTTTATGGACTTTCCTTACAGTGGTTTACTTTGGACGAAGTCTCCAAAGGAAAATTGCACTTAAAACTCGAATGGCTCACATTGAAGTCTACTGTTGAAAATCTTGACCAGGTATATTTGTCTACACTTTTTTTTGCATTTGAAGGGGCTGTCATTAAAAATATGTCTTTATATGTGTGGTTGTCCACATTCATTTAAATATGCTCTATTTCTAGAAGAACACAGAATAAAACCAAAGATTTATTTAGGCAAAAAATCCAAAATTCTCTTAGCAAGTCAAAAATAAGGGGCTTCATCAGGAAACCTTGCTTTTCGAATTCTGGGTAAGAAATGGCAGACTGAAAACTGCTTGGCAGAAAACAGTGCCAATGACTGTGGCAAATGAGGAGCCAGGGAGTAGGCTGGCTCTTTGATAATTCCTCTCTGGACAAGGAGAGGACTTGAGGTTGCCCACAGATAACTCCACTCAGCTGCTCCTCATGAAGAGACTGTAAGATGGTGGTCCTTGGTGTATCTGGAGCTCTGGGAGATGAGAGAACAACCATCTTGCTCAAACCATACATGGCAGCTTTGAAAGAATACTAAATTTGCACATTTTTCTAATCACTTTTGGAAATTGTGTGTTAATTGGTTTTCATCTATTAGAAATCTTTGGATCAACAAGTTTTATAGCACTGGGTGAGTTTTAACTTTTAAAACTAACAAATTTTAAGTTTTAAGAACTTAATTTTTTTTTTTAATTAACAGCAAGAGAGTGATTAAAATTTTGATTTTATAGAAAGTTACAAATGAACTAAGGATCTAGATAAATTTGAAGTAAGATTTTATTTTTACTTACTAAATCCATATGCTGCACTCTAACCTATAAGGAATTAATTTTGGAAATTGATTATAAGAAACCTTCCTCTGGGAAAGTGCTTTTGTCCATTTTTTAAATGTTTTATTTTTTAAAAAAATTCGAAAGATAAAATTTTTAAAATTGGACACTAGAAGGAACTAAATACTACAATTAAAGGGAAAGAACACTCCAACTAGACTTACAGAATGAAGCGAAATAGTTTAACACTAGACATACTGAAGGATACTTTTGAACAATGGACCCAGAAGCTAGTTTTAAAAATCTCTACCTCTACACATAGTTTATGTCTATTAAAAAATATGGAAAGAGGAACTTAAGAAATTAAAGTATCCTGGAACTGAAAAAATTTAGTCCCTGAATTTAGGAGAAAAATACTATACAGGGTTTTTCGTATTCCCACATCCCCCATACAAACCATAAGTACTTCAGGAAAAGCAAAACATATTTATTAGAGATGAGAAGTCAAATAATATATTCAATATTTATGTTAGATCATCATGAGGCAATGAATCAAACAATAGAAGGCATGATTCTAGATAATATTCCACAAATGGCAAATTTATGGTTATGTCATTTACTTTCCCAGTTGAGTGGGTTTCTTAACGCTTACAAGTGTATTCAAGGACTTCAGTATTCACTTTGCTTTTCATATCATTTCTCATATGTAGTTAATATTGAAAAATAATTCCATGGATTTTTAGAAATCATATTAGCAGCAAGAATAAGGCAATGAAAACATTCTCACGTTGCGGAATTTCTTTTCAGATAAGGAATTTTTATTCAAATCTAGTTTGGTTATGTTTGGAAATAATTAAAATATTTTACCTTAGGATACATGTTGGCTATCTCGTTCTTTGATATATAAGATACAGTAATACTTAGTTTTAAATTATTATGTATGATTAAACTTTTATTTTCTAGTTTGCATTTTATTACCTGCTTTCTTTTTAGTTAGAGATAAAGCACGAAACTAAAGTTTTTAATGATACTTTTATGATTTTAGGTGCTAAAAAGCATTAGAGCTGATAAAGATCAAGCCGACGATGGGCTTTCATCAGCATTGCTTATTCTGTATTTGGATTCAGCAAGAAATCTGCCAGTAAGTTTTAGGTGATAATGAAGCTTCTCTTGAATGATTCCTAATTTTCTTCAGTCACACATTGCTTACTACTGTGCCACTTTGCCTCACTAATCACGTTATGTTTTAATTACTTCTCCTCATGCATTCCATTACATTGATAATTTTTTATGATAAACATACCTTGCGGCTAAATTTATTTTGCAGGATCAGTAATCTAATCACGTTTATAGAACAATGCCATTTTCATTTACAATAAATTTACAGCATTTATTAATGTGGTAATCTTACAATTTTGTGGACACTTTCTGAAAGGAAAAAATAGATAGTCGGTCAATTCCAGCTTCAAATGAATGAATACGCTTCTAAATCTGGAGCTATGGTGCTGTAGGACATGTGTGAGCATATGTGCTTTCGAACGGTGCCCTTTTTTCTGTGAATGGAATCTCATTTAGGGTAAAATACTTAAAATCCGAACAATATATTAGGATGATCTGAGCAAGGAAGAACCATGCTTCATTGTTGCAAATCAACAGAGATAACGGAAAGCCAGCTTCTGATGTTGTGAATTGCTAATGAAAATGACTTTTTTTTCTTTTTTTTTTTGCTATTCTAGACTATTTATCATATACATAAATGTTTGAGCAGGGTTGGTGTAAATGCTTTCCCACATATGCTTGCAAGCTTATAATTAAAAGATCTGTTTACTGTCCCCAAATAGCAGTTCCCAGAATAGCTGTGGAAACACCTTTCACTTCGTAAAAATAAAATGTGCCCCCACACACTGTCCCGATTGTACAGATTTTTCATTTCTGTACAGAGAGAGAACCCAAATATGTATAATTGGAGTGCTTCATGGAAAATTCCATATATTTAAACTGTAAATAATGGCATGTCTTTTAATACCTTTTTATCCAGGACTAAATAAAAAATAATGAATGGTCCCCAAATAAACCCAAGGATGTGATGTTTGTAACGAAGCATACATTTCCCTTCTTCATCTAGCTTTTAGGAAAGAAACTTCTAATGAATGAAGTTTACTAATGTGATTTGAAGATAAAATATTAGACAAAGATCAATGGTTGTTGTTGTTGTTGTTGTTGTTGTTGTTATTATTATTATTATTATTATTATTATTATTATTATTATTATTATTATTTTGTATACTGCCCTTCTTCCGAAGGACTCGGGGAAGTGAACAGCCAGCAGATAAAATACAGAAAATACAAAAATTAAAACAATATTAAAAACCAATTAAATTAATTTGGCCCACAGTTAAAACACCCCCATATTAAAAAACCCATAATTTAGCAATTTAAAATTAAAACAACTTAAAAAATATGGTCAGGTCAGCCCAGCTTGATGAAACAAAAACGTCTTTAAGGCATGGCGGAAAGTGCGCAGATCCGGGATCCGCCATATCTTTGGGGGCAACTCGTTCCAGAGGGTCGATGCCCCCACAGAGAAGGCTCTCCCCCTGGGGGCCGCCAGCCGACATTGTTTGGCTGACGGAACCCTGAGGAGCCCCTCTCTGTGGGAGCGTACTGGTTGGTGGGAGGCTACTGGCGGCAGAAGTTGGTCTCATAAATACCCGGGCCCTAAGCCATGGAGAGCTCTAAAGGTGGTAACCAATACCTTGAAGCGCACCTGGAAGACCACTGAGAGCCAGTGCAGCTCGCGCAGGAGAGGTGTTACATGGGAGCGCCGAGTCACCCCCATCACCACCCGCGTGGCCGCATTCCGCAATTATAAAGTCTTCTAATTATGACTTTGCCATTTCAAAAATAGAATTCCTCCTGAACACTAGATGAAGTTTCTATTCTTTTCTTTGATAAAAAATAATAATAACAATGAATAATCATATACAGGTAGTCCTTGACTTACAATGATCTGTTTAGTAACTGTTCAAAGTTACAATGGCACTGAAGAAAGTGACATGATTAGATAGATAGATAGATAGATAGATAGATAGATAGATAGATAGAATAATTTTATTGTCATTTTGAATGTACACTAATCGGCATACATTAAAATGAAATTTCATTGCATACAGCTCTCAAAGGATCACCACCTCCAATATACACTACATAAACATGAGAAAACAAACAAACAAATACAAAATTATGCATATACCCACATATATTATATGATACAGAGAAACAACACAGTCTAGTTTGGAGGTATACATGTACATGGTGAGAAAAACGAATCTTGCGAATACGCCAGACGGATGGCTTAGGGAACAAAGCTGTTACAGAATCTGGTAGTCCTGCTAGAAATACTTTGAAACCTCTTCCTAGAGGGGAGCAACAGAAACAGACCATGAAGTGGGTGTGTGGGGTCTCTAACAATATTTCAAGCTCTAAACACAGCGCTTATAAGCAGTATTCTGAATAACGGGAAGTGAGCTTCCTATAATCTTCTTGGCTGTCCTTACCACTCTCTATCTGAGGCACTACTGCCACCAAACCAAAAAGTGATGCAGTTTGTTAGAATGCTCTCAATCATGCCTCTGTAAAAAGTGGCCAGGACAGAAGGAGAAGGATGTGCTCTCCTCATCCGATGCAGACTCTGGTTTGTATGCTTCACTAAGGATGACATGGAGAGACCAGATTGTTTTTCATATGATCATTGCAGCATCCCTATGGATGCTTGATAACTAGCATATATTTATGACAGTTGCAGTGTCCGGGGGTCATGTGATCACTTTTTCAGATTTTCTGAGAAATAAAGTCAATGGGGAAGCCAGATTCACTGAATTACTGTATTACTAATTTAACAACTGTGATTCACTTAAAATCTATCTTGCTTAGTAATGGAAATTTTGGGCTCAATTGTGATTATAAATTGAGGACTACCTATACAGAATTCACACAGATCTTTCTAAATTCAATAATTTAAGTCCTCCACGATAGTCATATCCTTGTGGCTTCCAAACCAGAAAAAGACAGTCATAGATTAATGGTAAATAATGAAGTGGCAACCCTTGTTAGCCTGAGATTAATCTCCCAGTTATGAAAAGTCCTTTGGAAGGATGTGTTTCAATCCTTACTGTGCCAATAAAAACGTTAGTATATCTTTGTCAAGACTTGTGAGGGCACCAGAGCGTTTCCGAAGTACATGAGGCAAAATCTTGGATTTGTTATTGTATTTGTGTTACAGTTGTATTTTCAGTTTATGTCCTGGAACTCTTGAATAGAATACTTAAAAAAATAATCAAGAAACAATATGTAATAATGGGTCTCATATCATAATCATCTGATAGTATAACATAATTAAAATTTCCTTAAGAGAAATGAAGCTTTTTCCCTTTGTGCAGAATGGATACAGATTAAGAGCACAACTTCTATATATTCAGAAAATCTTTTCCCCTCTTCCCCCCTCCCCATTTACAACGATAGCAACCTTATTGATGTATGGTATAAAAAGGTGGTGCATGAGTTCACTAAAAAGCTATTATTGAAAAGTGTGATTTTGTTGCGCAAGTGGTATCTGTAGCTAAAATGCCCCCAATTGCAGTAGGAGAAAAAAAATTGTCTGGAAATGTCAATAAAGCTAGATCAATAATGGAAAAAAGCGCTATTGGTTCCTTTGTATGATTTTCAGTACTTCACTTTTCTGTATCTATGCTAATGATAAAGCTGATTGAGCCCTCAGGCTGCCAGAATCCTGTGACTTTCTGCTTTCTCCTTCCATTTGCATTTTTCTAAAGAGTATCTACGAGGGAAAATTTGGGTGTGGATACTTAAAAGAGAGGAGAGCATCGGGACTAGTCTTTTGTGAAAATACTACCTCAGTCTATAGAGCGCTATTTGTGAGTTCTCAGGTTTATGTGTTCCTTTGTTTAAAAAAAACAATAACCCCCCCTTTTTTTAACCTTGGTGTTTATAAACCCACTTTGCCCTAACATTGGAATGGAGGAGCATGCAGTACTTTGTTTTTTAAGTGCATGGTTTTAGAAGTTTATATTGTTTTGGCTACATTTTCAGTGGTGTAATTAGTTTAGCTGCTCAGCTAAATTTGCTAATTTTTTCAGTGACTAGCATGCTCAGTTATCTACTTGAAGAAATGTGACGCTTGCAGAGAAATGAAATGGTCATGAATTGTAAAAATCAACATACTTTGTAATTGTTTTGGAAAGTAAGTGCAAGTATTGTGTGTGGCATATGTAAGGGCCCAGAAGGTCTTTAATTTGGCTCAAGTTGCATAATTAAAATTGGAACAATCTGTATTACAGAAAAAATACACCTCCTTGTGCAGCCTTTTGTCATTAAAATATGGACCCATAAATTAGGCATTTCCATCTGAGCATATTAAAGTAGATTTTTGCTGAGAGATAACAGCTAGTGCAAAGATACAGTATACAGTGCACAGTCAAGTAGAAATTTGAAAAAGTTACAAAAATAAAATAAAATAGGGGTTGTGAATTCACATTGCAAAATCATTTCAAGCTTGCAAACCATCTACGTTCCTATTTTGTGGCATCTCATTATTGTGTTTACTTTGAGAATCTTGGTTGTCTTGAGTTTCTGAAATCTGTAAAAACAGACCTGGTTGTTTGTTTGATTCATGTTAGAAATATTAAAAAGTAATACCAAAACAGTTCATCATAATTAAATTCTCATATACTCTTATTTTGCTATCAGTACTTAAACCCTGGTTCCAGTGCATTGTTAAAACTTCCAACTCTAATAAGGCAATTGAAATGATGTGTTACAGAAGTGAAGGTTGATCAGAAAAAGAAACTTTTAACAGCAACTTGACCCAAATTAAACTTCACCTTGTCTTTTTTTCTTTGTGGAACTGGAACAGTTCCTTCTCTTTTTATAGCTTAAAGATTCCTTAATAAGCATTATGGCATTTGCATGACAGTGGCATGCAAGCCGCAAATATCTCTGTCATCTGTTATTTTTACTCTGATACTGTTGGCTCTTCTTCATCAAAAGCAGCTATGGTGTTCATCCTAAATTGAGAAGAAGAATTTAAAAAAAAATACAGTGTGAGGCAAAATTTCATGGCAATCTTGAATGTGTCTGTTATATGTGTGAACTCCTCCAAAGAAAGTACTATAGCAAGAAACATTAGAAGCTGCAAATTAAATGCTAAGAAACTACATGGGGAAAAAAAAGAAAGAGAAGACTTTTTCCAGTCTAGGCAAATAGACATTCAGCATAAAACTACTACTAACCCAAAGCTTTTAGAAGCATAGAGAAAGGGAACTATTTCTAAAAGTACATTGTGCTGCATCTAGTTGTTACAATACTTAAGTAGCCAGCCAAACAGAGGTATGAGCATATCTGATTTATTTTTTTAAATAAACCTAAGGACAAATTTAGAGAATAATACAAGGAGTCTTACAAGGCCGTAATGAAACCTACCTAACCATGGTTGTAATCTGTGACAATCATAAAATAGGTCATTCCTGTGACCAACCCGATCTTACACAGTTTATTTGTGGCCGTTAAACAAATGCTACAGTCATTCAGCAAATCAATTATTCATTAGTGGTGCAATTTTGCCAAAAAAAAAAAGAGGAAGTAAATGCCAGTTTTCAGCAGAATCGGCATAAAATGATTGCAGGATCCTGCAGGTTGCCATAAATGCATCACTGTTGCTGAATGCCCAAAATGCGGTCATGAGACTATAGAGGGAGCTGATCATTGGAAGTGTGAATCTGGGTCATAAATACAGCATGACTTGGTGGCTCAGTGACTAAGACACTGAGCTTGTTGATCAGAAAATTTGGCAGTTTGGCGGTTTGAATCCCTACTATAGGTCTCCTGCGTGAGCAGGGGGTTGGACTACATGACCTCCAAGGTCCCTTCCAACTCTGTTACTGTTACTCCGTACCCCTAGTTGATCTGTCGAAACTTTGGTTGCTAAGTAATTGATTATAGGTCAAGGACTAGCTGTATACAGTATCTTTATTTAAAAATGAGTATCCATAAATTTATGATACTACATTTTTTCCTGCCCATCTGACCTTATTTTTTTTAGAATTGTTTAATTAGAAAAAATGGGGAGCTGGCATACCCCAAGGCAAAAGTGCCAGCCTTTAGTTCATCTTTACAACAACAATGTTCTCAAATAAAGAGCCGGTACAAGGTTTATTGAGGTAAATACTAGTTAGGCGCTTTATTTGGAAGTGTGGCTTCCTGACAAGAAGACAAGCAGAAATTTTGTTAAAAATGTCTAATCTAAATCTTAAAAATATAGAGAGAATTTCGGTGATTAAACGGACTGAAACAATCTAGAAGTAAATTCATTCTTAGTTAAAAAGCTTAGTTAGTGTTCAACAACTCTTTCAGTTTATCAGACATAAACTTTCTGTCAATTTTTGGTATACTATTTCTTCCACATGATGTATAATATTGAGACATATGTAGAAGTTTTTATAACATTTTTTTCCATTGAAAACAAGATTTACTTGCAGACAAATTTTAAACAGTTATTCCGGAGGACAGAGAATTCCCTTTCCTGTTTTGAATTAGTTAGCATGCTTTGCCTAGCAATTTAATTGAAAGCTGGATTTAACTTTGTTTATTCCATCTCAGAAATTTTGAGACAAAATGAAATTCTAGAATGCCTCTCCCTCTCTGTTTAAGAATTCCTAATTTCTGAAATTAGTTTGGTAGTGCTGTAGTTTTAATTCATTATAGTTTGCCTGCTTTACCCTCCGGACGATGCACTGTTTCTGAAATAAAATTAGAAAATGTTAATTAAAATTATCAGCTAGTTAGACCTACTCCACTTTTTTGTATCCATATTATCAAATCCAATGCAATGGAGCATTATAGGGGAAAAGAAGTTACTGCAAATAGAATCTTAGCCTGTCTGGAAAAAGTCAGTGAAATATTGTAATTAAAAACGGAATAAGAAAAAAAGGGTGTATCAAGTTATTTTATAGTAATTAATGCTCAAGCATTTTTCTCTCGCTTCTGAGAACGTTTGTTTGGTCTGCTGTTGTTGTCCTGTCCTTAATTAACCAATTGGAACTGCTTTGTTGCATGTCATATTAACCCTCCGTATGTTCATTTTCTTCTGGTTTAAAAGCATAATCCTTTAGATTATAATCCAGAAGCCTTGAAGAAGTCTGCTGTTCAGAAAGTCTTAAAGGTAAAAGTGATACAATTTTCCATTTAAAATCACACAATTAAATAAAGACTTTGGGCTGCCAGTTTGGACTAGTGGTGAAGATACAATACAAGTGCCTATGAGTTAGGCATGAGAGCTGTGGTGGGTGACTTTGGGTCAATCACTCACTCTCAGCTCAACTCATCTCACAGTGTTGTTGTTATGGGGGAAACAGGAGGAGGAAAAAGGATTATATATGTTTGTCACCTTGATTTATTTATAAAAATTATAAATTAAAAATTAAAAAAATAGAAAATATCTTCAAATATTTTGAATTCCAGGAGATATAAGCTTAGTGTCACAAAGTTAGATCAGAACACAATAACATTAATTTGCCTGTGAGTAGAAGGCACGTCCCATCAATGATTGCACTACATAAATTATAGAAACAAATAATCTTTGATTTTAATAAGCAATTATTTTTTTAAAGTTGGCATTAGAGAGCCAGCTATATTATTACTATTAAACAAATTATTTAATTCTTCTAAAATAGTACTGAATGTCCAATATATTTTCAAAAGCATGCTTTTATTAAACCTGTTGATGCTTTTTTTTTTTTTAATCCAGAGAATTTCCAAGTTCCTTGATCCCTTTTTAATACATTTGCTGAACTTGGAGTGTAATTGCATATTGGCAATCAAAATCTTCGTAACAAAACTAATATAAGGGCCACTAAGTCATCATGAAATACAAACCCTTTGTAGCCTTATTAATTCCATCTCTTTTGTTTCAGGATCACCACTGTAGACAAGCATGGAATTAATAAGACAAGTTGCCAGTGGAAAACTAAATTTAGTCCTGCTACTAATGTGGAAAGTAGGAGCAGTGCTTTTTTGAAGATGCTGACAGCACAGAATAGCTGGTAGTTTATAAATTGTGCAGATGCACAGCTCAGTATTGCTGGTTAAACTGAAAGGCTAGCTGTAAGCAGATATATAGATACTATGTATCTGTTTCTCCTTACCTGTAGAAAATTTAATTGGTAGCATATATAAAAAAGAAATGTGCCTCCCTGTTTCCTGAGGCAAGATGTAAGACTTGAATCTTACTTCTATTACTGTTAAAAACAAGTTCTGCTTATATTAAAAGGGTAGTATATTATTTTCTGAGAGACATTTTACCTGTCCCATCAATTTTGCCATTCAGTAGTAAATAAATTGAGTTTTACGTAAGCATTTTGAAAACCAGAAATTGATAAAGTTAAGAAAAACATAAATAAGAAGAAATAAGTATCTGAACAAGTCAACATCCGAACAGGCCAAACATTCAATAAACAATATCAAATAAACTTTATTTTATCAAATAAAGGCATGATTGAGACCCTCTTGCATACATATTCAAAAATATGCAATATAAGAGAGTATGATATTGGTGAAGATCCCTATGGCTCATATTTTGCCCTTGGAGATAATTTTCAGAAATGGAACTAATCTGGGAGAAAATCTAAATGAATTTTCTGTCAATTTAAAAAATTTCACAGCGAGAAATAATTAAAAGCAGATTGCCAGGAAAATTAAACTAAATATGGCTTACCCTTTAAAAACTCAAAACAATATGTGTTGAGATAAGAATACTCATGTCTTTAGTCTGCAGCTTTTGTCTTAACATTGTTTTAACTTCTCTTTTAATCATGTTACTTTTTTGGAGTTCCCGTTTATAAATTAATTAATTATTAATAATTTAATTAATGTATTAACAGCATTGATAGATGCTTCAGATTAACTCCTGTAACTCCTTCTTAACAAAAAGTATTTAACTGAGAAATTGGTAGGGAGCCTATTAACAGACATTCATAATCTGAGTTCTTTAAAATTACTTTTGTAGTTTTAGTAAGAAAACTAGGTAAACTTATAATAGAAGCCATAGCATATCATCTCTTTTGTTACCCTCCAAATGTTTTATGATTCTGACATTCTGCTTAATCATTCCATATATGTAAGATTAGTTTCCTAAGCTTGCATTTTCTCCATATCCCCCTTTTGTTTCCTGACTGCAACATACATTCATTTGTTCTAATGTTGCTTCATTAATTTGGGGGGGGGGGGGATGAAATGCTTATTTTAAGGATGAAAGGTTGAGCATCTTAAACCAATTCATTCAAAAACACAATACTTGTTAAAGACGTTGGAAACCTCAGTGATTTCTATGTGCAAATCTTTCAAGGTAAGTTATGTGATTCCTATATCTCATATACGTTTGTGACACAGTGTGGATGAAAAGAAGATAAGAGTAATACAATTATTGTTTTCTACATTTTCAGTCAGGGAAGAAAATGAACAGTAATCCAAATCCCCTTGTCTTAATGACAGTTGGACATAAGGCACAAGAAAGCAAGGTAAGAACCACTTTTGTCCTCCTCTGTAAAGCAATACAGTTCACACCATCCTAATTTTTTTTAGGTTTTGTACATACAGGATCGCATCAATCCATGTAACATTTTCTTTCAAAACCAATGGAACCCCTTACTCCCATCCCCAAGCAATTTGCAGGCACTTGGATCTGAATTAGAATTGGGTATCATGGTTTTTCTCAAAGGGACACACTGCTGTGAGCTTCTTTGGATAAGAAGTACTGTACTTGAAAACTTTAACTCATATTTCTGATCTGGATTGGGAGTGTAGGTGAAATAAAAGGTTAAAACTACTCTGTTGCCCATTCCAGAAATCTAATTTAGGGGAAAAAATCCTGATATCTGTAATTTGCATTGAGGGACAAAGCCCATTGTAGAGTCTGAGGTACAGACTCCCAATGCAAACCACTTTGAAATTTGTATGTATTTATATGCATGTGTATGTTGAATATCCAGCTCTGTGATTTCCATTGTTGTCCAATTCCCTTAGTATATTACCCAACGACATGCAGTCCCTGGAGCAAAGGGAGAAGAACATCTGTGTATCTGTATAAGTAGGCTTTGTTTTTTGCCATGTGTGTTAATAAAGAATCCTGCCTTTGAATAGATCCGCTATAAGACCAATGAACCCGTTTGGGAAGAGCATTTCACCTTTTTTGTTCATAATCCTCGACGACAAGAGCTAGAAGTTGAGGTAAGTCATTCTAGTTATTTGCTTGATCTGAAGTATCTGTTGAGGGTAGAATGCCAAAACAGCTGCAGCATTGGGAGTATTGCAGCAAAAAATGTTGTACTCTCGACATTTGCAAATGTTTTGCTCAATAGAGAAGGGATCCTAGCTTCGAAATAGTTGTAGTTCTGCCTATGCTGAATCATTTGCTTAACAAAATTGAGGCAGATGATTAGAATTTTTAAAAATTCTTTCAGTAATATATATGTAATATAGTGTAAAACTTACTTTATACTGAATATAGCATAAGTGTCAAATCAAATTTGGCTTTCTCTAGTGCTGGATTTGAGTGTGTAAGTAAGAAAAGTGATAATACACCAAAATTCAGATTATAGGAAACACATACTGGTGTTGTTATTGAATTTTTTTTTAATACTGTATTCTCTTTTTCTTTATTAGAAAAAGCCAACGTGCCTAACACCTTTTTTGCAGCTCATTCTAAGCTGATTAAGTTTATTAATGGGTCAAGAATCAGGTTAATTGAATAAAATTAAGGACTCAATAATTTGTTAACTTTTTTTTAATACAGGTTTTCATTTAAATGTAATAATTCTTTTTTCGTCTATAGGTCAAGGATGAACAACATCAGTGCTCCTTGGGAAATTTTAAGCTTCCTCTTAACCAACTCCTTGCAAGTGAAGATCTAACTATGCATCAGAGATTTCATCTGAACAATTCTGGTCCAAACAGCACTGTATACATGAAAATTGCACTCAGGGTATATTATAACAGTGTCCTAAAATGTATTTAAAAATTAAGCATGTAATAATTGTGGTAATGATAGTGATATGCAAATTATATTTTAAGAAAGAAAGTCCAGGAAAAGGTTTTAAAAGTGTGGTTGCTTGGGAATGAGAAGTTGTAAACTTAATTACTTGATTGACACATTGAAAGTTGAGACCAAAGCAGCAGACTGTGGTGAAAGTGTCAATATGTCCCATAGAGTGACTCTGTATTTCAGTGATGGATCATATTTTGCATGCTAGAGTTCAGTTACCGCCATGCTTCCCTTTTCTTGCCCAAAAGCAAAAGCGATTAAGACTTCTTCCTAAAGCTTTGGACAGCTTTCTCCCATCAAGTTAAGAAGAAATGCCCAGAGCTCTAATTTTAATGTGAAACAATTCCTTCTCTTATATCTGCTTAATCTATAGGAAGATCTGCATTTGGAATGAGTGAAAGCAACTATAATGCTTCTTAGGTCAAGCTTTAAAATGACGAGATTAAGAGATTAAAACAATACACAATGCATCATAATTGGCATATGTTTACAACAGACAATAAATAAGGGTATTTTTTGATAAGATGGAATCAATGGCAACAGCATAGCAATAGCATTTAGGCTTATATACTGCCCCAAAGCATTCTTTGGGTGGCTTACAATGTAAGCATTATTTATATATTGACCCCTATAATCTGGCTCCTCATTTTACTGACCTCGGAAAGGTGGAAGGCTGAGTCAAGTTTGAGTCTTATTAGGATCAAACTCCTGGCTCTGGGTAGAGTTTGCCTGCAATACTACACTTCAATCATTTACCACCAAGGTTCTTTTCATAGATTATAGGGGTGTCAATCTGGCCCATGGGGTGTTAAATCCAGCCCGCGGGGCCGGCCTGGAAATATCAAAAGGACTGGCCCGCAGTGCCTTTGGCGGCTAAAACGAGCTATGTGAGACACTCCCGTGCCTCATTTTCACCGCCCATGGCCTCCTGCAGCACTCTGCCAGCCGAAAATGGCCGTCAGAGTGCTGCTGGAGGCCATGGAGGGTGAAAATGAGGTGCAGGGGTCCATGCACGGACTCCCTGCGCTCCATTTTGGCCGGCAGGGTGCTGCAGGAGGCATCCATCCCGCTGCTCAGGAGGAGAACTACAATGCTGATCTGGCCCTCGAAGAAATCCAGTTTGACACCCCTGATATATTACATCATATGCACCAGAAAAAGTCAACTTGGTGTCCCCCATACCCTTCTAAAAATACCAGCCATTATACCCAATAATCATGGATTCTAGGGAATTGTATCCAAAATATCTGGAAATGCCAGATTTGTTACACACTATATGTGTACTGTGTGTATATGATAACAAGACCACATATCATGCTATTCTCATATCTGACATTACGCTCCAAGGAGCATCTTGCAACAAGCAGACTCGGTAAACCTCATTTTAGATACCACAGGACTTCTGCATCTCTTTCTCTCTCACTTGCTCCTTTTGTCTATCTTATCATCAATGTGTGAAATTATGCGTTTTAATAGAATGCCTAGGAAATCTGTACCATGCCAAAACGCTTAATATTTCACACATTTCCTAGGCATTCTATGCAAAGCCAAAAGGCAAACTGGCAAAGTATAAAATACTTCGGCAAAAATGCCATTCTAGCCTTTCTTGTTGGAACAAGTAGGTCAGTGCTTTGTCTTTTTCTCTCTCTTTTTCAATAAGGAAGTTCTGTAGTTTATTTTGCATTTCTTCTTTCATTTTCTTACATGTCTTTTCAGTAAAAAGTATGGGGTAGGTAGCGGTAGGATTAGGAATAGGATTAGCCCTAACCCTTTTCATGACTCTTATTACTATGCTGCATAATGCCTAGGGAAAGTATATAGCAGTGATGGCTAACCTTTTCCGGACCAAGTGCCCAAAGTGTGCACATGCATGCGTGAATGTGCGCCCGAATCCCCAAAACTCAATGCGGACATGGCCCCACGCATGTGCCCCACCCCTGTGTATGCACATGTGTGCCCCCCGCACACCCATACCCCCACGCATGAATGGCAGAGACCCGAAGACCAGCTGGCTGGCAGGAGGCTCATGTGCCCACAGAGAGGGCGCTACATGCCACCTCTGGCACGCGTGCTATAGATTTGTCATCGGGGTTATAGCATATTAAAATAACAAAGGCATTTCATATTTTGCCTAAAAATGTCACACATTCTACTAGGCATTCTATACAATGTCAATTTTTTACACATTCTTTTCAGGGATTAAATCCTGGGGAGATTGTAAAAGATTCTGAAAAAAGCTTGGTAGCAAAAATCTGAGGCTGGCGGTGCTTAACAAATGGAAGAGGCTGGATTGGTGTGTACTTTTAATTCTCCACAGCCACAAAATGGAAAATTCCACCAAGTGAGAATTTGGTGTAGATGTTCCATTGAAAGCTTTTCTTCGGTAAAACGTAAGAAGAGAATACAGACGATCTTTGACTTAGTATCATAATGGAGCCTGCCCTTTGCAGTCATAACTTGTGAAAGTTTAAAAGCAGGTCATCTTGTGATCATCCAGATTTTATTATCTTTTTTTTTATGGTGAGTGTTAAGCAAACCCATTATTTACTATAGGATGAAAACAAGGGGGAAAAACACTAGTTTTCAGCAAGAAATATAAATTGTGGTAACAGGACAATTGGATGCTGCAAATGACTATAAATGCAGGGTGATTGCCATAGTGGACACATGATCAGGGGAAGTGGCCATTGGAACTTTGGAATATGGTCATACCTTCTAGGGGTCCGTCATAATTTAAATAGACTCTAAGCGCTGGAAATAAGTTGAGAACTATTTGTACTTCCTATCAATTAAGTTTCATTCAGGTGGACTTTTCTTTTTCCCATCATGGTGGGGATGAATGGCAAACATTCTAGCTATGCAGAACTCGCCAATAAATTACATACTACATGAGATTTTCCAGGCATGTTTCTATATAGAGCCATTGGAGAGAGAGGCTCAAAGACAACACTTCTAGGTCTGCTTTGGTTCTCTTGTAATCTGTTTGTGTACCTCAGCTTTCTCCCCAATGCTGGGTTTTGCAACCTTTGAAACTGTAAGAAAGAATGAATGTGGTCTTCTTGTTTGTTTTTTGTGACTATTAGATCCTTTCTCTTGAAAACCAAGAGAGATCTCCAGATTACCAATATACGGCCAAAGTGAAGAGGCCTTCTGTTTCCAAAGATGGGAGGAAGGGTACTTTCAAGCCTCAGGTCCCCCCTTCTCCAGCAGCTGATGTGAGCAAAGCCACAAGTTCTACAGCTGCAGATGCCAATAAAAGGACTGACGGGATGGAAACAGGCCTCCCCTCCAATCCTAACCCTCAGTGGCCAACAGATCTCAGCAGAAGTTCCTCCAGTCTTCTGACCTCCAATTTGAGCGGTTCTCCCAGCCACCTTTCAGTCAAAGAGCCTACTCCAAGTATAGCTTCAGACATCTCTCTCCCCATCGCCACGCAGGAGCTGAGACAACGTCTGAGGCAACTCGAAAAGTACAGTCCCAAATTCTTTTTTTTTATATTGTATCTATTCTTAATTGGCATTTTTACTTTAAGTTCTCTCCCTAATGATTCTAAGCATAATATCTGCATTTTGTTTACAGTATCTGCGCATTGAGTTGACATTTTCGTGAGGTCTCCACCTTGACTCAGATATTCTTTTGCAAGTTTAAAAGGCACCAGTTTCGGCATCCCACAATTTATATATTGCCGATATTCTCTTCCCCCCCCCCCCAATTTTCTGCACAATAAGCAGCTCTTGTTTTATATTGTTACTTCTCAAAACCAAATCATATCTTCACAAATCAACAATTACTTAATATTCAGTAATGCTGTATTTTAATTGTGTCTGCTCATAACCAGATTTTTCCCCTGACACTGGAAAATCAGAATGAATTGTAAATTGTATGTACAGAACCTCATTAGGATTGTCTATGTATGCAGGTGGGTGAGAATAGCACTTTAGGATTCTTATTGAAGTATTTATTTCATATTTCTGTCATTGGGATATAATATATATCCACAAAATCACAAAAGGAAGAATTCGTGTTGTGTCATTGTGGAAACTGAACATTGACAGTTTGTATTATCCTGATTTTCGTAGTGGAACAACGTTGGGACAGTCTCCATTGGGCCAGATTCAGTTAACAATTCGTCACAGTTCACAGAGAAACAAACTTATGGTGGTTGTGCACACATGCAGGTGATCGTATTATATATTTCTTGCAATTATCAATTTATCTGGAAGGTACGGTAGCTATGCTGGACAACTGGGAAGGGTCTGCTGTCTTCTCTCCCATCTAGTCAAAAATGCTGAGCTTTATCAGTCTGCTCCCACAGAGAGGGTCTCCTCAGGGTGCCATCGGCCAAATTATGTCGGCTGGGGACACCCAGGGGAAGGGCCTTCTCTGTGGGAGCCCCTGCCTTTTGGAATGAACTGCCCCCAGAAATGCGTAAGATCTCCGACTTCCGTGTATTTCGCTGTGCCCTCAAAACCTTGTTGTTCCGCCAGGCCGGGCTATCAATGTAAAGATTTTAATTGGTTTTAAATGTGGGATTTTAAATTTGGGGGTTTTATAATTGAGCCAATTATTTAATAATTTTAATTATTTTTAAATTTTGTTTGTCTTTATGCTTTTAATCAGGCTGTACACCGCCCTGAGTCCTTCGGGAGAAGGACAGTATAGAAATAAAATAATAATAATAATAATAATAATAATAATAATAATAATAATAATAATATTTATTATTATTGTTATTGTTGTTGTTGTTATTATTATTATTATTATTATTATTATTATTATTATTATTATTATTGTTATTATTATTCCTCCAGTTAAATCTCCCCGTTCAACTGTGACTTTGACTAACCAGGATTCTCTTGGGAATCCAGGCTGAGGGTTTGAATCCAGGCAGATGGAAAAAAGAGATCAGCGAATCCTGGAGAAAGGGTTCCTGACCAAGCATTGTCAAAATTTGCAGATGTGCTGCTTTATTAACTATTTCTGATCTGATATTTTATATTCTTTTATTGTAGAAATCTAATCGCCTTTTCAGAAGAAGGTTCCGACCCTTATGTTCGAATGTATTTATTGCCTGACAAGAGGAGATCAGGAAGAAGAAAAACAAGTGTTTCAAAGAAGAATTTAAATCCAGTGTTTGATCAGGCGTATGTTGCAATCTGGTTCCTGATTTTACAGCATAAAGTTGGGAAATTATTAAAATTTCTTTGTTTGTACTGAAATGTTACTTCTATTGATTTTTAAGAAGGCGTCTAGAAAGGGGTTAATAGTTCACTGTTACTAGAAGTGCAGTGCAGGGAGATAAAAATAAATGCAGATGTATACAATTGGCATCTTCTGGTTTATTTTGTTACCATCTCTATAAATAAGATTATAGAAAAAATGAGTTAGCAGTACGATCACAATATTTTTTTGTAGAAAATAAGTTGTCAAAAAAGCTTAATCAGTTGGGTGTTAATTGATATAAATATTATAATTTAACAAAGTAGAATTTGGAGCTATGCCTTGGGGGTAATATAGGTATTAAAATGAGCATTAAAAAAGTGGAAGGCAAATAATTTTGCAGAGGGAAATGTTCCTTATATAATAGATATGAGTCGAGCAGTAGCAACCTCAAAAAATCTCACTGATTTTCAGGGCCTCTTAGCCAAATATTCTGAAGCCACAGATCTCCTGATTTCAAAGTACTTTGATTATATTCTTGTCTGAAACATTTTTTCCCTTCTCAGTTTTGATTTCAGCGTTTCGTTGGCTGATCTACAGAGAAGAACTTTAGATGTTGCAGTGAAGAACAGTGGAGGATTTTTGTCTAAAGATAAAGGTCTGCTTGGTAAGGTGAGTATCACAGATGTAAAAAAAAATAGTGCTTGGATAATGTAGCAGAAAAATGTGAATTGAAGTATTGTAGAATATCTGCTAGTTCCTCTTTTTTTGGCAAAGTTTATTTATTTATTTATTTTATTTATATGACATGTGACTATCCAGGTGACTCTGGGCAGCTAACAAGACAGTAAAAGGAAGAGCATACAAACATTAAAAATATTAAATTTAACAGGAATCAGATAAAACTGGGAACCAAGTACAGGTGGGATCTTCTTTCGTAGTCTGTTAGCCATCTCTAGCATAGATAACTGGGACCTTATGCCAATTGGCAGAGCCATGTTCTGAGGCCTTTCCAGAAAGCCAAGAGGGTGGGGATGGATTATGGGCATAATCCCATAAACTTTACATAGATCTGATTCTGAAACAGAATTACTTTTTTTTTTTTCCTTTATGCATTCTGTAGCAAGATCCCATTGAGCTGATGGATAAAGATTTGAGTTGAAAAAAAAAATCTCAGACGTTACCTTTACCTTGTTTGATGTATTTCTTTTAAGGATTTAAGATCCATGCATGTGCATCCATGTAGAACCAATTGTTGAAGAGGTTAACTTTGTACTGGAATCACGGTTCAGATTTCACGTTTGTGAGCTGTCAGATGTAAATGCCTTATTCTCCAATGTGTAAATAATGTATATATGGAACATCAGAGGTTAACTTATTCTTTGGACTTTAATGTATTCATAACTTACCACTCCCATTCCTAGCTCCACCCCTTGTATATATAAGGAGCCACCCTCACCATTCTCGTCGCTTCTACCTTGAATATTCAGTGAATATAGAATGCCTATCATAATTAAAAAGAAATATATTTAAAGCTCTAACTCCTATTATCTTTATTGAGTCTGATCCTGAAAATATTGCAACATGAGCAATGACTTTATGCATACAGGGGGTTAGGAGTCAAAGCCAGAATCTAGGATGGCTTTCCACAGAACCAAAGTATGTAGAATCTTGTGTCATAATATAGTTTTTTGTTCTCACAGGTATTGATACCACTAGCTTCAGAAGAACTTTCCAAAAATTGTACTCAGTGGTAAGTACAGCCATAGGATGCCTTTTCAATTTTACCTCATTGAGAATTTGGATAAGAGTTCATTGTTTCTTTTTTCTTCTGTTTGTTTCGTAGGTATGACTTGACAGAAGATGGGACAAGACCTAATGTTGCACCTTAGGCAGCTTTGGATTCTAAAAGCTCCTGTTAGCATATCTTTGCCAATCTTTATGTATTTTATTAGCATTGTATCAATATTATTTTTTATAACTCTTAGTTACTTGGCCCATCACCCCAACCGTTTTATAATATCTTGAGATTTTGCCGTAGGCTTAAGTCAGCTTACTTATAAACAATTTTTTCCCCATTTGTTACAGCAAATTTAATGTGCAATAGGGTTTATAGAATAAACATTTGTTTCAGTAGGTCCTGTTATGGCATTTCTGTCCTTAAGAAAAGTGGGCTATCTTTCATTTTTTCTACCTTAGTTGTGTTTCATCAAGATATCTGCCATGTAAATAGATACTATTTTTTAAAATGCATTTTCCTCAGAGGTGTGAATGCAGAAAAAAATATCAAAGAAAACTATTTTCTTTGAAAAAAGTATGATATAAAAATCTTAAAACAAATTTGAGAATAGCATAGCTAGTAAAATGGATTTAAACTTACTAATATTATGGATTTAAGAGTTTCTTATTTTTAAAAAAATGAAAACTATTGATGTAATGATGTATGATTAAAGATTTGCAAAAAAAAAAAGGGAAATACAAAATATTAACCTTTAATATTTATATTGAAAAATGTATTCTTTTGAGTTTCGTTCAGATAATGCATATAATTCACAAATGCATATATTATATATTTACCCAGGAAGTGAAAATGAAGATTTATGTAGTACAGTACCGTGTTTTTTCCATTCACTGCTTTTTATTAAAGATTTATTTGCCCTATCCATAACGCAGGGAAATGCCTATGCAACAGTATGCTCAAGCTATATAACGAATTACGATTTGGCAGCCACCCTGATACAACATTGTGATGTCACATTGATTGCTACCGATAGAAAACAGTTTATAACTGAGTTTTAAAAGCATGTTTACAATTGTATGTGGAATACCAGCAAATAATGAGCTCAAGCTGTAGACTTCTGAATTTCTGCTTGATTCTTTCACAGTTGTTTCAGTACTATCAGTATTGGTGCCTTGAGCAGGTTTTTTATTTTTATTTTTGGATCAATGCATGTAGTAACCACATAGCATTCATAGCACTGCATTTTTTTTGAAAGTACAAGTTCAAAAGCTGATTCATTCACACATTACCAATAAGGAATATGACAGTGCAGAATGGGAGGACAGAGTGTGCAAAAACAGCATTGAAGCTGATCCACAGTGCTTCTGTATAACAATAATGCAGGAAAAAAGACTTCCAGTGACTCATTTAAAATCAAATATATCTTCTAATCAGTGTAGCTTTTTCCCCATTTGATTTTCGCAGGCCCAGGAAACGCAAGAACAGTTTGCGAAAATGGGCTTAGTTATTTGAGTGTGAACATTTTATTCATTGTTGCTTTCAGAATAGAATCAAAGGGGGGGGGGAGGCATTAATTATACTTATTCAAATATTTTTGAAATCTTTCTCAGATGGTTTGAACAATAATGCATTTTTGTATTTTAACCCAAGAAATGACGTAGTTCCATAGAAAGTAGTGACACACCATCTTGAATATATATGCAATGCCTTTCTAAGAATAATACAATAGCATAAAATAATAAAATTTTATCAGAATTTTGAGTCTTAGAAAGTCCTCTGGCCAAATAATTTATATGGGTGAATAAACTTTAGGGATATTAGCTTTATAATTGAACTTAAAAAATCTTAACTCTGTCTTAGATAATTTTGAAGAAATTCTCCAAGAGGAGCGGTCTTCACTGAAGCTTGTAGAGATCTTCCTATTGTGCCCTATAAATAACTAGACTACTAAGGATACCAAAGTGCCTGTAATATATGTAGCAGATTGTCTATATCATGTTTTGAGAATCAGTTGTCTATATTTCAGTGTGATGTACCTGCACACGGGCATGTATGCTTCTCCTATGTTTTATTATGACTGTGCCTCATTAGGTAGACTTTATAATATCATTCAGACATTGGCTTCATATAGAATAGCATGAGTAACTCTTATCACAACGTAGTTTAGGTTAGCAGTCCTCACTTCCTTTTAAATGACAGAAATGCATTTACTGCTTGATAACTTTCAGGGAAATCTAAAAAAGGGAGAATATGCAAGAGGATGATTCAGCCATTAAATATAGTTATGAGGGGAAAAAAGATATAAATAAATAAACCCATAATTTGAAGTTTTACTGAAGAAAACCAAGAGATCTTCTAACCTTTGAATTCTGTTGTGGCTTAAAATGACTTAGAGTACTTTATGGTGGCATTGCTTAAGTGGTAATTTCTAAAGTTATATTTGAATTCTACTAACAAGGGATTGTGGTGAGAAGAGGAGGCTCATAATATCAACAAATGTATGCAGAACGATCTAGCACTTTGGGCTTCTTTTTTGCAGTCAAAAACTAAAATTAGCAAAAAGAATTTAAAAAATTACGAAAGACAAAGGCCCACTAATGTTGAAATAAGCCTTTAGTTTGATGTTAAGATACACAAAGTAATGTTTTCTTCCTTATCATCTGTTCTTTCTAATAAGGTCACATCTCTTGCGTTTTGCATAAAATGCAAAAAAAAAAAAAAATTGAATTGATGCAATGTGAAATATATTGAAAATAGCTCTGCAGTAAAGAGATGGAGAAAATTTGGACCAAAATCTGAATGATGAGTAAAACTTTTTTTTTCTGCCTTTGGGACATAGAAACTGAGTGCATGAATAATATTCCTGTTCACAATTTAATGGTTCACTGAAGTATGATGAGGATTGATGAGATTCCAATTAGCAATTCTATGACTGAGTACCATCAGATTAGATTTCTGTGTTTTCTATTCTGTGCCTTAAAAGAAAGCTTAAATATTTCATGTAATGAAAGCCAAGCTTTGTTCTCTGTATTTACCCATCTTTATGTGCTATTAAAACTGGTGCAGTTTTTTGCTGCATTTTGTATTTAGAGCTGTTGTAATCTAACCACCAATGAAGCTGTTATTTGACTTAGGGATTTAACATTCTTTCCTGTTTCAAACTCTCTATCATGATGCAGCAACTGGGGAAAAGAAAAGAAGAAAGAGTAGTTGTTTGACTACAGACTGCATTTTTTCGCTGATCTAATTTTGCTATTGCATGTATTTATTCAGTAAATGATTCATACGGAACTCACTGCCTCTTTTTATTCATTCAAAGACTATCTGCTGGGTTTACTTAACATAATTAGCAACTTTTAGTGCCCTCAGTTCACTTCCCAAAGCATTGTATTACATACAGATACACTGAAGTAAGGAAGAACAGATATAAATGATTGCATTTTCTTAAGAATCACAGCTTTTTTTGTTGCAATCCATCCTGTGGAATGATGGAAATTACCCAACATTTGAGTGGGTTCTTAAGACTTCGATGAAAGTGTTCAAAAAGAAGAAAAATTACTTGACACGTGTTGCTATGCATACGAATTAAATCTTGGCTTCTTCTCCGTAGTTGATGCTACCTTTCCTTTCTTCCAACATTAATTTTAGAATGGATGGCCTATTTTAAAAATGTTTGCAACATTATATAGCCTTAATACCTGTAGATTCGTACTTGAAAAAAAACTGTCCATTGTGCAAATTGTGACATTTTACTGAATGTGAACGTTGTTTACTTATAGCCAATCAGAATCTCAATAATTCTTTCATCACCTTGACAATTAGTAATATAGACCACACTTCTGAAAACTTAAGGGGACAAGAGGGATATATAAATAAATAAATGTACTGCTTTATAAATCCTTAGTAAGACCAGACTTGGAATACCTCATCCAGTTTTGGTCACCACATTACAAATAAGATGTTAGACTTTGGGGGGGAAAGGTGCAGAGAAGAGCAACTATGATGATTAAAGGCCTGGCAATTAAAATATATGAAGAACGGTTACAGGAATTGGGTTTGGCTAGTCTAGAGAAAAGAAGGGCTAGGGATGACATGATTGTAGTATTCCAATATTTGAGGGACTGTCACCAAGAATAAAGGGTCAACTTATTTTCCAAAGCACCAGAAGGCAAGACAAAAAAACTATGGAAACTAATTAACAACAAGCAACCTGTAATTAAGGAGAAACTTCCTAACAACAATTAACTAGTGGAACAGCTTGCCTTCAGAAGTTGTGGGTGCTTCATCACTGAAGGGTTTTTTTTTTTTAAAAAAAAGATAGCCATTCGTTTGAAATGGTATAGGAGTTGAACAAGGGGTTGGACCAGAAGACCACTAAGGTCCCTTCCAGCTCTATTCTGATTAATTTAAATATAATGATACAGTTCTGTGCAAACATACAAAGGATCACACTTTTAATTAAAAACTATTCACTACAGCATGAAATACTTAAGAGGATTCATTGCCATTTAAAATCTGGATCATTTCGCAGTCTACAATGAATGAATAAATTGAACCTAGGAAATTTCGATTCTGTCTAGAATGGGGCTGCAGTTGAATATTTCAATGAAAAATCAAAAGTTAAAGGATGCAGAAACTATTTGAACTCTCAAATCATTTTTGGAAATCAAGCCATTTTTCAGAATAATGTGCTGAAAAGTAACAACTGCTAGAAAGTTTAAAATATAGACGATCGGAGGGAGCTGAATATTTAACTATGTTAATAATCCACCACATCCGTATACAGAAACAACATCAGTCATTCAAAACATAACATTGAGCTTGCTGCAGCATTTTGATCACTTAACAGGTTCTTAGTCATCTCCAAGGGAGTCCTATATAGAATGCATCACAGTAGTCTAATCTAGCAGTCATCAAATGGTTTATTTTATTTCATTTGTTTTCAACTGCAAGGCATCTTGGGCACTGGCACATGATCCAAAAATGCCTCCTGCTCACAGTTTCTACCTGCTGTTTCATCAGGAATGGAAACTTCAAGAGGACCTTCCAAGTCATGAAACGACTTTTTGAGAGGAACATGTCAAGAAGCGTGTGTGTGTGTGTGTGTGATATTATTGACCAATATTTACTGATTTACATTAATTTCATCCTGGATTTTGTCCAATCCAGACCTTTACAGACTCACATCCAGGGCATCTTCATCTCAGCCTGAGGTGGCAGTCCATTGTTATCTGCTTCTGGATAACTCCTCATCTCAAGCCAATGGATTAGATAACATGGGGGAGAGAACCAAGGACCACATCTTTGCATCCCCATGACCATCATGTGGAGTCCCTCACTCAGAAAGTAGAAGCCTCTCACTCAGACAGTGTCTTGAAGCCCTACTGACTGCAAACAGCCTGGAAGGATAACATGACTGATGGTATTGAGGGCTACCAAACATACAAGACATGCATTCTGTCTACTGAAATCCAGACATGACTCATCTACCAGAGTGATCAGTGTATTTTCTTTCCTATGAACAGGCCTGAATCCTGGCAGAAAAGATTTTAGATCATCATCTTCCTTCTGCATCTTCTATAGCTAATTTACCAACTCCATCTCAACAACCTTTTATAACAAGGGAATGTTAGAGATTAGATGCATAGAATCAAACACAAATTCTTCAGGGAAAGGTATACCCTTCCTTCTTTAAATCAGGTAAAACCACACACTCCCATTGAAGTGATGGTAGTCCTTGAGGACATTTTCAACTTTGTACTGCAAGTCTTTGGTCAACAGCCCTTTTTGGTCTACAAATACGGAAATGTATTAAGAGTGGGAAACTGCCATGCACTCTCAAATGGTGAAATGGTTTCCTGGCTGTGGATGTGCATATTTTATAAAACTCAAATATAATTCAGAAAGTGTCATCACTGTAACTAGGTCAGTGGTCATCTCAGTAGGCCTACTCCTAAGCAGAGTGAATAACCAGCTTCCACCTTTATGTGTTTGTTTGAAATACTGTAGTGTGGTGGCTCAACCTGTGGTCCATGGACCACTGGGTGGGGGGGGCACAATGTCACAGGAAGGCTTGGAGAAATCTTATAATTTAAATCTTGAGTTAAGTTTTGGGGATCCGTGGCCATGCTCCATGGCTACAAAATAAAAGGTTGAGAACCCAAACCCTATCTACATCTTGGAAGACCATAAAAGGGAGATATATCCTGATGCTTTCTTAGGAAACCTGTCTAAACAAGGCAAAATGAATGTAGCAGCAGCTTTGTGAGAAGGAAAAGTAACACAAGATAATGGTTCTTTCATTAGCCTATGAGTAGCCATTTTGTGGATGGATAAAGCCCAGGAATGTCCACCAAAGCTATAAATTCTGTTCATTAACCCCAAAGTTTATATAAATACGATAGACACTGGATGAGCAGAATTATTTTTACAGGTTGGTTTGAGGATCTTTGATATGAAATTTATACAAAAGAGTGGATCACAGCCATTATAATAAGAGAGATCTTAAGCAGATCAGATCCTTACTTAAACATCATTGTTTCTTAATGTCAAGTTGAAAGCCTCTGACCAGCATTTATCTTGTCCAAATAATACATTTATAGCATTAATTAAAGTGTGTTCACATTTAATATGCCACTAAGGCCTTTATCTCAATGAATCTATATTGAATGGCAGCTTTAAGCCTGACAGATGGGGTCAACCTATTCTTCAAAGCACCTGAAGGCAAGTCAAGAAGTAATGGATGGAAATTAATCAAGCAGAGAACCAACCTACAACAAAGGAGAAATTTCCTGTCAGTTAGAACAATTAATCAGTGGAACAATTTGCCTCCAGAAATTGTAGGTGCTCTAACCCTGGAGGTTTTTAAGAAGAGATTGGACAACCATTTGTCTGAGATGGTATAGGGCTGTGATGGCGAACCTATGGCACACGTGCCACAGGTGGCATGCGTAGCCATATCAATGGGCACATGAGGTCAGCTCCGGGGGGCGCCAGCTGATTTTCAGGTCTTCTGGGCCCACCAGAAGTAGGGAAACAGGCTGTTTCCTGCCTCTGGAGGGTCTGGGGACATGGGGAAGGCCTGTTTTTCTTTCTCACCTGGCTCCAGGGCCTCTCTAGGAGTCTGGGGAGGATGAAAACGGCCTTCCTCATCCCCCCAGAGGTCCTCCAGAGGCCGAAAATGGCTTGTTTGACAACTTCTGGTGGGACCAGAAGGCCCGTTTTTTGCTGTTTTTCTGCAGCCTCAGGGCCTCACTGGAAGTTGTTAAATGGGCCTCTGTGGGGGGGAAGGCTGTTTTCACCCTCCCCAGACTCCTAGAGAGGCCCTGGAGCCAGGTGAGAAAGAAAAACAAGCCTACTGGACCATCGCATGCCAGGAGCGGGAGGAGTGGGGGGGGTTGCGCGTGCATACGCGGGGGCGGGCACTTAGTATTATGGTTGTGGACACGCATGCTACCCCCCACCTCCCTGCCTGAGCAGGGACTAGAAAACCTCCATGGTCCCTTCCAACTCTGTTATTCTGTAGATCTATCATTCATATATTATCATCATCACATCCTGTGCTAAGCATATTGGGCTACAAATGTACTCCACAATTTTCAGTCCGCATCTACAGTCTCTGCATTCTTCCATTTAAGGTTGATGTTTTTCAGATCTTCCTCAAATGTGTGACGTCAGGTTTTCTTTGGCCTTCTTCTTTTTCTCAGACTATCTAGTGCAGGGGTGCCAAACTCGCGTTGTCATGACAGTGTCACGTGACATATCATGATTCCCCCCCCCTTCGTTAAACTGGTCATGGGCATGGCCAGCGCATGATGCATCTGGCCCATGCATCTGGTTTGACACCCTTGATCTATTGGTGTCCTATTGATTGTGGTTTTATTGGGCATTGCTCACTTATGCGGAACAAAGCGCATTCTTCGTTCTGTCAGTATCTCAGAGAGTGTTTGGGAATTACTTCTTTGTAGAATTTCATTGTTTGTTGCCATAGTCCTGATATGAGATACGAAGAATCCTTCTGAAACAACGTTGTTGGAAGATGTTGATCTTATGAATAATTCTTGTTGTAGATTTCCAGGTTTCATTGGTATAGATGGCAGTCGGTATGACAATGGCATTAAATAATCTGATCTTGGTTGTTGTGCTTATAGCGGATATGGTCCATATTGAGCATATTTGTTGGAAGACAGCAGTTGCTCTTTAGCTATTCAGCATTTCACATCTGCTTCTGTTCTCCTATCTGTATCCATAATGCAGTCAAATTGTTTTACAAATTTTAAGGCCTGTCTTAC